TTTTAATTTTCATGATTTTGTTGCAGTGAGTGGTAAGATAGTTTTAGAAGATGGGTACGAGGTCACAACAGTGGTCGACGGTCATAAGTCTGGTCTGAATCCATACACGATTCATGCTTTACCTGGATCTTCTAATCTCATCGTCCTTGATTCTTCCGGCAGTACATTCTACACTACTTCATTTCCTTTGTCCTTTGGTAAACACACTCAAAGCCACTCTTTTGTACCATCTATGAATCAGATCATCATAACTGTGTTTGTATATGATTAGTTAAATCATGGATGCATAAGTAAATGTTTAGGGCTTGTGGCTTTTGATTGCAAGTCTTGACCTTTCATTTTTGCTTTCTCTGTAATCTCAAATTGGACCACAATACTAATATGTGTGTGTATGTGTGTGAAATGATCAACTGCAAATGAAAGTTCTAAACTTTACTATCGATAAGTGAAAATTTTGTTTATCTTTCTTTCAATTGAAGTTGGAGTATGTGTGTGTGTTTGTGCAGATAGTGTGATACACCGGTTTGCTGGGGATGGGACTTCGGGTTATGTAGATGGTAAAGCTGGTAACAGCCGGTTCAAAAAACCCCGTGGTTTTGCTATCGATGCTAAAGGGAATGTCTATGTTGCTGATAGGAGCAATAAAGCTATACGCAAGATCAGCTCTTCAGGTGTTTGTTTAATCCATTTCTTGTATTCCTTTTGTTTTAATGCTAGTTGTTGTTTTGTAATCTTGGTTTGGAGGAAGAGCCACTTAGTTTATTTGATTATGCATGTTTTATTGACTGGACTTTTGTAGGTTATGTAACCACCATTGCTGGAGGGATCTCAAAAGAATTTGGACACAGAGATGGACCTGCACAGAATGCAACTTTCTCTAGCGATTTCGAGATAACTTTTGTTCCTCAAAGATGTTGTTTGCTTGTTTCTGATCATGGAAATGAAATGGTTCGCCAGATAAATCTTAAGGAGGAGGATTGCCTCGAAAGCTCTCATTCTAGTATGTTTTTTCTCAGTAATCTTTTTGTGGATTTGATACACTAACACTATGCTTTTAGAAACTTCAACGATTCTTCTTTCACTGTCAGATTTAGGGGCATATTCTCTTTGGTCGATAGGGATTTTCCTTTCATGCATTCTCGGGGTAGCCATTGGATTTGCTGTCCGCCCTTACATCATTCGTCATGTAAGTTATTTATCTATCCTCACATTACATTTAGTGTATAATCAAGATATCAGTTATCAGATCTCTTAACCAAATCGTTATAGACAGGAAGAAGTGAACCACCTCTCGTTCATCATGACAGGGAAGCTTCTCCTAACCAAATTGGGGGAACAAGTTCTGACCTTCTTCTCCTACATTAGAAACCGAGTTGCTGAATCAACTGTTTATTCGGTACTAAGTAGACTAGTTATGATGATCGTGTCTCACCTTTCCCTCATGTATTCCGCCCTAAGTAGATTAGTTAGTTCGATGGTATTTAGCCTTTTCTTCATGTGTCAACCCAATAATGTAGCTATTTTAGACAAGACATGCTCTGTATCTGATCCCAAGAGTCCAGGTTGCGGCAACCCAAAGCCGCCGCTTTCACTGAAACCCTCTGATGATCATATGGACCTAATAAGCTTTGATGATGAACAAGAACCTGACAAAGATTGCAGTAATGAAGAGACTCTTCCTCATGCAACCATAGATGACATTATAAAGGTTCATGTTGAAGGATTTTCAAAGATGGCTGAAAAAGATGCTGCAACTCATGGTTCTTCATCTACTGAGTAGGTTTCAGTTAAAAGCACATGAAGCAGAGAGTATGTATCTTTTGTAAATGTAATGTTTGACATTCAAAGTTTGGTTGAGTTGGAAAATCTTCTTTTATTGAAGTGCTTATCTTTTTTTCTTTATACCATGGAAGAATAATTTGGTACTTTTCTTACAAGAGAGATCTAAATACCCAAATCCCTAATGTGCCTTCTCAACAAATCTCAAAACAGCTATACCTGAATTCCCAATTGCTACAACTATCGTATTAAGCAACTTCTCACGTCTATGAATAGTATCCATATGGGTAACTCACAAATTGGTGAGCTCTGTAGTGGATATTCTGATGTGTATTCATCTGTTCTCCAAACTCTGTCGACTTAGCAGTAGCTGCTGCTGCCACACGCCTGTGGTCTTGCTCCTGGCCCGGCCCAAACACAATCTCATTACTCTTCTCGCTGCTCCGCTCATAAACAGTGTGTGGGATCGTTGCGTGATGCCTACGGTGATGCTGCTGATGCTTCTGTTGCTGCTGCTCCTGGAGGAATTCGGCATCTAAGCTTCTGTACAAGGCACGGCTTTGGCGCAGCTGTTGCATTTTCTCTGCTGCATCTTTGGACATGAAAGGATAAATTTTTCCGGGAGTGGGGTTCCTGGACTCGATGGGAGGTGGTTCATCTTTGTTGTGTATTACAAAGCTCTCTTGAATTGGCCATGAAGTTGTGCTAAAGGCAGAATGCTTTGTTTCTTGATGGTTGAAGTTGAAGCCGACTGTCTGTTTCTTTCTGAGACCAGGAAACATTCCACTGAACAGCTCCACAGAAAACACCCAAACATTCGAAATGAATATCTGCAACGTTCCAAGGAAGCTTTCTTCTTGTTTTTCTTGCTCGTCTCCAGTTGGAATCAGCGGTGGTCTGACCGGTTTTATAGGATCTTGATCAGGCACAGCTTCAAATACTTCTTGATCCTAACATATACACAATAGGCAGAAATGTCGGTTATAACTCAATTATAGGGTAGCATAAGAGAATGATGTTACGATGCGAATATACACTCACAGTATGATATGAAATGATAGAACTGAGTCTACGTTGCAACAAAGCCAGCATATAGCCAAAGAAAATTGCCGCTACAAGAACTGCAATCCCTGCAATATTAAAGCATTGAATCAGAGATATACATTGAAGAGTAACGGAGATAGAGATGACTGAAGAATGCAAGATGGGCAACAAATCGAGGACTTTGGTATGTAAATATTACCAAGAGGAAAGCCACTTCCATACTGATCAGCACAGTCGTCGAAATGGAGTTGAATCTCTCTGATGGCTTGGTTCCCGCGGTCAATGACTAGCAAGGAACAACTGCTTCCGAGATAAACAACATCAAAATCATTTGAAAACTTTGCATCTTCACTTGGACCATCCACATGACCTCCCCCATGAACCATTTTTCCCCCAGCAATGGTTGTGACTCCTGCCATTGCATTTTATTCTTTCTTAAAAAATCCGATTCTTACCAAACATTTTTCCAAAAGGCAAAACCATAAAACAGCAGAAAAAAAAGTACCTGCTTCACTGATCTTCCTGATAGCATTATTCACAGTATCTGCAACATAGATATTTCCTCTATCATCAACCGTGAGTCCCTTAGGATTGTTCAATCTCGCGTCTCTCAATCTACCGTCCACATGACCCGGATATCCTTCAGGGGAGCCAGTAATCAGCCTCGGTCTGCTATCTGCCATTGTTCCAAGAGTTACAATCTATTATTCAAGAATTCACCTACTACTTGCTTTCTATGAACAATATCATATTGAGCTAAATATACATACAGTCCACAATCAAAATGCAACAGGCGTCTAATGTTAACTGCTGCATTTAAAACATTCAATGCAGTATTCTTGACCATTTTCATTTAATTTAAATTCTCAAAAAAAAAAGAAAAAACATCAGAAATTCTCCTGATTTTCAAAGTTCATAAACCTAAAATCTCTGTATTTCCATATACAGCAAACTGTACAGTACATAAGAGCACTACGATTAGGTAAGCAAATAGTTTCTTTATCACGTGAAAGCAGAGAAAAAGGAAAAAGCTTGACTTCATCATCATCCGTATTTCAAAATCCTAAAAAGATCAGCAAATATTGAAATCCACCAAAATCAATAGTACAATATAATACTTACAAAGGGAAAGAGAAGATGAAATCTTGTAAATGTTACTATTCTGAGAATCCAGAATAAGTAATTCGCCATTAGGTAAGACCTGAAGAGAATAAGGTTCGATACCGAGTTTGCTTCCGTCTAACACCGTTTCCACTGAATACCCATTTTCAAATTTCACCATCGATTTCGTAGAAACAGCTGATTAGTGATTAGAACAAAAAAAAAACCCAGAGATCAAAAACCCAGGAGAATCAAACTATCTGATTACAACCTATAATCGGCGAAGAGAGTAATCAAAACCTGTTATAGTGGTGGTTTTGAAAGAGAGAGACCATAACCATTTCATTAAGGAAGTGCCATGATTCGAGATGAAACTATTAACAATCTCTGCAAGAAGAATCAAATGTAAGCTTGTTAAGATTATAGAAAGATCAAACCCATATCCAAAAAAAAAAAAAAAAAAACAGGGTGAAACTAACTCGCTGGTGAAGGAGCTGAAGCTACAAACCCAGAGAGGATGAGAATGATAATACCCAGAAACAGAAAATGCCTACTCATCACTAAAGTTGAGGAGAAACGATTAGCGAAGTGAGAAATGGAAAGAAGAAAAAAAACCCTAGTTCATATCTAAAAACAGAGGAATGGCTGCGATGGAGAAGAAAGAAGGTTATGTTTTTGGAGGAAACAGAGGTGGTTTGAAATGTTGAATGAAGTAGTAGTGACAATCTGTGAAAAAAGGAAGGAGAAAGGTTGAAGAAGAGAAAGCAACAAAAACAAAAAAGAGAGAGGCGTAGAAAAGTGACACATTGGTCATGCCATAAACGTCGGCGCAACAATTAAAAAGATTATTAAGGTTTTGCTGATTAATTTAAGATTTTTAATCAGTGAATAATTAATGTAAACTATTGTTTAAGATATTTTACACATATATAACTGTTACTGGAATATGTGTGTCATATTTGTTTTGTTTTAAGACCTCAAAACTAAGTAAATGAGCACAAATGGCTCCACAAGATTAGTTTTTTTTTTTTTCCTTTTTTCTTTTTATTAACATTATGTGGCTTCTGCTTAAAGAATTACAAAACCAACTTGTCCATTTGGTTACTCCGAGTCCGTGTAAATTACAAACCACCAGAGACTTTCTTCTATACAAAGAGGTAAAAACTGCAATTCTAAAGAAACAAGAAAACAACAGTGAGAGAGATTGAAGAAAAGACACCTCTCAAGCGTTTGAAAATAAATATATCACACAGACCAGTCCCCATCGTGGTAAACCTTCTTCATATACAAACCCTTTCCCATGTTGGTTATGGTTACTCACACTGACACACTTGGAATAATCATTTTTTGTTATCAGATGATGCTCTCAAACGCCACTTGCGTGTGCAATGAGGAGGATTGTTGTTGATCCTCTGGCTTCCTGCTGCTCGAGGCAGCAGCTAATCCTCCTAGGAGCTTCAATACATCTGAGACATCATCTAAGAAGTACTTGGCTTTGCTTGGTTTTCTTCCCACCGTGCAAGCAAAGATCTCTGGTGGCATTGGGAGGTCCGGGTTTGTCACTGTGCTCAATATGCTCTCAAACATGTCCTCGTCTGATCTGTCATCTCCTATACACATTACCATGTCCGGTGGGTTTCCATCCTCTACCATTCGGTGTATCACCTTTTCCACGGCTAGACCTTTGCTCACTCCCTGCATCAATACAAAGAATAGATTCGATCACATAAGATGGTATGAGTTCTTGATAGATTCTCAGATGCAAGTAAAAGAAAAAGATTATATAGATATCTGATGTACCTGTGGTTTGACCTCTACAATGTGTTGGCCTCTCTTGACGACAACAGGCTCATTTGCAAGTACACTCTCTAGATGATCCAGAAGCTCCTTTGCTTGACAGGCTCCAAAGTCCGGATCCGCTTCTTGATGATGCCAAACCAAAGCACTCTCTTTGAACTCTATAGTAGAACCATCCGTTGCGTCCATGTATGATCTCATTACCGGTTCTACCATCGTCTTCCATTCCGCCTCAGCCGACGAGTAACAAGTCTCCCACTCTCTCTTGCTACTCCACCTGAATCCAAATATAGAATGGGTCTTAGTTTGTACAAATTCTTGTTAGAAACCGTAACTAAGAGAAACAGTTACAAGCATTCATACCTTATGAAGTATCCGTGTTCAGCTGCGATTCCAAGATTTTCACATGGAGATAGCCAGTCGCTCAGAGACTCCCATCCTCTTCCACTGACGACAAACACAGTGTTTTTAGGATCTCCACACAGAGATTTCAGAACAGACAGGACTTCAGCATTAGGGGTTTTGATAATGGAGCTCTCAGGAACGAGAGTGCCGTCATAATCCAAAAATATTGCCCTTCTCTGTGTAGTTCTGTACGTCGAGACAATGTGATCGATAGATAGCTTCCTAAAACTCGGAGATAGTGACAAAACTCTGAAACTCAAGCCAAAACCAATACCCCAACAACGTTTATTATAATGTTCCCGGCATGCCCTCTCCAGATCCTGCATAAAGCTCTTTGCCCAGTAACCCACATCATGAGTACTGACATAGTGATAGTGTTTCTCGTGCCTTAATCGCTTTTCAGTTTCACCCATGGTGAGGGCTAAGTTTACCGCTTCTGAAACAGCATCTACATCCCATGGGTTCACCCTGATCGCACCACTCAATGAAGGCGAGCAGCCGATAAACTCAGAGACGACAAGCATGCTCGTCCGGGGTGAGTCATGGCTAATGCCCATGGCCTTATCCATTCCTGGGGTCCCTTGCCTGCAAATGATATATTTATATGGAACTAAGTTCATGCCATCTCTTACTGCATTCACCAGGCAGCAGTCTGCCATTGCATAATAGGCAGTCTTCTCATAACGTGGAACAAGACGATCAATCAAGATCACTGGCTGATAACCAGCAGAACCATAGCGCTCGTTAATCCTTTTTACAGTTGAATATGTCTCCCTCTTTGCTTCTTCCACATCCTTACCTGTGGCCCGAGCTGGGTTCACTATCTGAATCAGGACAAGTTTTCCTCGCATATGCCAATATGTCTCAAAGAGACGTTCCATGGCTATAAGTTTGAGGCTTATGCCTTTAAAGATGTCCATGTCGTCGACACCGAGAATCAACTTTTTCCCCTTGAACTGTTCTTGTATCTCTTTCATTTTCGCTGCAGTCGACGGAAGATTCAAAACCGATTCCAGCCTCCCCATATGGATGCCAACAGGAAGGATCTTAATAAACACCGTTCGACCAAAGTAATCAAGCCCAATGTGCCCACGCTTAGATTCATAATCAAGGCCAAGCATTCTACTGCAGCATGACAAAAAATGACGTGCATAATCAAATGTGTGGAAACCAATGAGATCACAGTTCAACAATCCTCTCAGAAGATCATCCCTCACTGGCAAAGTGCGGTAGATTTCTGACGATGGAAATGGACTGTGAAGGAAAAATCCAAGCTTGATCCTGTTAAACCGTTTCCTCAAGAATGTGGGAAGAACCATCAGATGATAATCATGAATCCAAACATAATCTTCCTCAGGGTTGATGACTTCCATCACCCTATCTGAAAATATCTTGTTTGCAGAGACATACGCTTGCCAAAGACGCCGGTCAAAACGATCACCGTGGTCAGGGAACATAGGAAGCATATAGTGAAAGAGCGGCCACAAATGGTGTTTACAGAAACCAAGATAGAACTTTTCTTGCATCTCCTTGGGTAAAAACGTAGGAACACAATTGAAATCCAACAAAAGCTTGTGAGAAACTTCTTCTTGTTCACTCGTACCAATATCAGCATTAAGTGATCCTATATAAACAAACTCCGTATCCGAAGAAAACCCATCTCTGAGTTGCAAGAGAAGAGAATCTTCATCCCAACTAAAACACCATTGACCACTCTCTGTATCTCTCTTAGCTTGTAATGGTAACATATTAGCCACTATAATCTTCCGCTCACGGGAGCTGCTTGAGGAATTAACATCAGAGGATCCATCACTGTAGCCTCCATCCAACTCAGAGATGATACCAGGAACAGTCATGACACGAGGAAGAGCTCTTTGAGTTTGAGGAAAGTCCAATAAGTCCCAAGATGCTAAATCTATAAAATTTGCACAAGATCTTGACACCATAGAGAGAAGCAAGCCAAAGGTTGGATTTTTACAAATCCAACACACGTCTAAACACTTCCAAGCTTCAAATACCTAAAAATAAAACAAACCCATTCCATTAAAATTAACATCACCAAACTCATGAAACAATGATCTTAAAACACGAGTCTATAGAATCACCAAAACAAACAATGCCACCAAAAGATGATTCAGAAAACAAACATAACAAAAACGAGACCAAATCAAGCACAAAATTGAGATCCTGGCCACATATCGATCCTAAAAAACAGCTCAAGAACCGTTTTCACACCAATTAAATCTGTACCCATGAATGAAACAGTTCAAAACTCAACTTTTCCACAAAACCCAAGCAGCACCAAAAGGAAAAAAAGCAAACTTTGCTACTCAACTTGTCTGAAAATCACTAAATCGCCGGCGAGAAACTTCAACAGAAAACTTCAAATTGTCTTCTTCGTGGAACAGATAAAGGAACAAAAAAGTTCACGATAAGGACTCGAGACTCTCTGGGGACATTTGAGTTTGGATAGAGAGAAGAAAATTAAATGAGAGAGAAGAAAAAAAATGAGATAATACCAAATGCACATATACACGTTTTCTAACGATCAATTTTTCTAATTTTGGCAATAAAATAATAATAATAAAGGGAGTCGATAGAAATGACATTATTACCCTTAATCCTCTTATCATCTTCTTTTATTATAGGGTTTGGTAGATGAGATGATGACTAGATAATGTGGTGGACCATTTTCTTTTCGGCTGAAACAAATGAAATAATTTAATCCTTAATCCAATCCAAAGGTAATGCTAGGATTATGAGATCTCATCAAACCTACTCTGTCTAGGTCGTATATTGGTACGGGTCACCTTTTTTATTACTTATAAAAATTGACATTTTGGTTAGTTTTAAATTGAGCTATCGTTTACGAGTTTATCCAAAATGAATCAGACTTTCCGTAAGCATGACTCTAAGAAAAACTCAATTACGGTACAAAATCATTAAATTTTCACAATATAAAATGTAAATGTTATAGATAAATTACAACGTACATATTTATTAACATTGCATGTAGCATGCTCAAAGTTATATAAACTTTTTCCGTGAACAATGTTATGTAAGATCGAGAAATCCCGATTTGAAAACAGAAAAAAAAAAATTTAGAAAATGATTTGGAAAAATGATTTTAGAAAACGAGTGAAGGCGAGATATAATATATTTTTCCGTAATCCAAACTAGCTATGAGCAACGGATCGCAGGATACAATCACTATAAAATCGGTATCGCAACACTCGATAACAGAATCTACGAACTTGATATAAATAATATCGTAGGGGAGAAATCCGGAACTGTTACGCGAACTCGTGATTTTTCTCCCACGATCTCAAATTGGGCCGAATCTAATAATTTATGTATTTTTAAAAGATATATCAATCTATAGTTCAATTAGCTATATTGATTGTTGAAAATATATGATTTGGTAAGTTATATCAAAGTGTTTCCCTATTATACAAAACAAAAAAAAATAAGAATAAAAAACAAATATTGACAAGTTGTTTCATGGTAACAAAACATACCAAGTACAAGTCACATCTTTACAAAGTGCAAGTAACGTTTTAAGACACAACGATCATATATATTAATCCGTTGGCAAAAAAATAAAACAATTGTAATGCATTGGTCAAAAAACCAAACTTCTACACACGATCTCCAAGACTATATCCATATAAAAGTCATCTAGCTAGATAAGATTAATTGAATCAATCTTCTTACTTTAATTACAAAAAGATCATTAGAGTTATCCTTTTCTTACTAAAAAGTCTTAGAAAAAGACATAAAAATGGAACAAACATCATTGGAAATGCAACATGCATGTACAGATTAGATATAGTAAAATTTATAATAGTTAAAAAAAGAAGTCATTATTATATTAAAAATTTGACCAAACAACGATAATATAAAACATGTAAGCACACATTATCGGTAATGTATTGATATTAAAAGGGCACTACGCAGGTCAGGGTGGCGATAATGTATTGATATTAAAAGGGCACCACGCAGGTCAGGGGTGGCCTCTCAAGACCTCCAAGGGACAAAGCATCATTAGGATTGTCACTAAAGTAGTAACCATGTGTTGATTTACGATAATATCCCCATTTGGCCCTTAATGGTTCGAATGTAAATAACGTTGACATCTAAGCTGTGTTTTGTTTTCACGTTGTTTAGGAAACCAACGAGGATTGAGTGATTGAATCCGAATCAGATTGACACTTTCTTTTCTTCTTCTTTTGCTGCTTTTTTCCCTTTGCACAGTAGCCCACATTGTTATCCGTCTTCAACTTGATAAGACCAATTAGGGTTTGGCCGGATACTATTATCCGTCTTCAATCCGTTATCCGTTTCAACTACTTATTGAACTTTTTTAAAAATGGTATAAGTAGTTTTAAAGTATGATACATAATAATATCATACATTTGTTATCTACCAAAAAATCGGATATTTATATCGATATTTTTCAACTAACTTTTTATATATTTTTATTTTGTTCAACTACTTGCTTTGTATTTATGTTATTATTCAATTTGTAAATATCCTTTTTAAATTATCTAATTTTATTTTATAACTATGAAATTTAAAAACGAATCCACGCATCTCTATGGATCAAAACAACGATAGTTATAACATCGTAACACGACACTAATTATACAATTAGTTATAGTTTTAAATAGTTAATACTATTGTAAATTAAAATTCTAGAAATATTTCAGTATTTTAGAAATTTGGATACTAAAACCAAAATATTCCCTTATTTAAATTTACATCTGGATAACGAATGAAGTTATGGCCATATTTTCTGAGTCATATAATGGGCATACAAAAATTAAAGACGATCCTCCCATGGGACAAGCCAAGCGCGTGGGAATAGCGACACGTGTAACTTCATAAAAATTTGCCGATTTTTGCAAAGGGAGGCACGTGGCAGATGAGTGGGGTCTACATGAGTGGCTGCAAAGAAGCGAATGAAACTAGACACGTGTCTGATGTATGCTGGGTCATAATCTTGGTTCAGAATGTTTTACTTTTCCCCGATGGATAAGTGTCTCTTTTGGTGGATTATCGTAAAAGCTTTTTCTATTTACGTACAATTTTTAACCAATGAAACGTCGACACGTTATAAGAGACTTTTTTTTTTTTTTGTGTAATCGTTAAGAATACACATGAAAATAGCAATTAAGTGCCGAATCATGTGTATCAAAAAACACATTATATAGGTTTGTGCTGAATTAGGTAAAGTATTAAGCCGAAAATATGTAAAACTAACAATTGTTACACTACTAACTCCAAACTAGATTAAATCAGCTAACTATATTTTCAAATTGATTGATTACCAGTGTCCAAGAAAATGCTTCAAATAATTAAATCCAAAAACAACACATACGGGCCATTGGGCATTGATCTTGCAACTGCGTAAAGTACTCAAGTGATACTTGCTAGGCGAGTATTTTATAATTTCACTCAAGATAATGGGTCTTAGGCCCGTATTGTTGTTTCAGGAATCAGGATCACATCTAGGCCTGGGCTTTCGGTTATTGGTTGGATCTATTCGGTTTCGGTTCTTTCGGTTCTAAAATTTAGTATCCATTCGGATATTTTGAAACTCCGGTTCGGTTTTGGTTCGGTTCCGGTTCTTTCGGTTTTAAAATTTAGTATCCATTGGGTTATTTTGCTTAGGATATTTTCGGATACTTCGGTTATTTTTGAGTATTTTCGGATATTTTTGGATATTTTTCGGTTATTTTCGAGTATTTTTACTATTTTTATATATTTTTCAAGTATTTTTGATTATTTGGTCAATAAATAACTAATTATTTTGAAAATATAATTGTATTTCGGATATTTCGGGTAACCGAAATATTTCGGTTCGGTACCGATTCGGTTATGGTTATTTCGGTTATAAAATTTAATATCCATTCAGTTATTTTCAAATTTTTGGTTCGATTCGATTCGGTTCTTTTTGCTTCGATTTCGGTTCGATACATTCGGTTCGATTTATTTGCCCAGACCTAATCACATCAAGTTAATTAATCATATTTTCCGCAACGAAACTCAAATTGATTCTAGTTTCTTGTTTTTCTTTTTGGTCAGAAACTAATGAAACATTTGTATCCCCACTAACTTGATCGATAGTCATATGCTATTTCACATTTCTACTTTCTAGTAAAAACAAAAATTTGTTTTAACTCAAAAGAACTTTCTAGTAATTCTCTTTAGATTTATGAGTGATTAAAATGCATTGCTCATAAAATGAAAAATTGAAAATAGATGAAAAGAAATACCAACAAATGACTAGCAATAAGTGGCAAAAGTTATTTTTGTCCTAGCCAAAAAAGATCTGGGATACTCATAAAACTAACAAAAATGGTAATCATGGTAACAACTTTTTTTTTTTCGTCTGAATGATTCATTATATTAAACAAAAGAGGAATACAAGGTAGAATACGATTTTGGAACACTAGGCCGACAAGAGTCGAAACTCTTTCGGAAACTACGCCGGCGGAACACAGAAATATCCCCGGAAAACTAAGCCCATAAAAGGGAAGCAAACTATAATCAAAAGCACTAAAAGACAAGCCCTAAAGGAACCTAAGAACTAAATCTGAAACTCAAAACCAACATAACCTTCAAACAATCCCAGAGAAACAGATGGCGACGGAGCTGGACCAAGAAACAAGAGCCTCGAAAAGAAACAGACAATCTCCAAACTACCGGAGAATCCGAAGAAGAACTAATCCGAGAGCTCAACTAGCCACAACCCGAAAGAACAGAGAGAAGGAATAAGCTAAGAAGCGAGCACAGCAACAAGCACCATCACGCCAACTTCAGAAGGATAATGAGCTCGAACGAAACTAGGCACAAAGATGGACCTTTGAAAACGGCTGAGGATAAGCCAAAGAGGAGCACCAACCCTTACACGCGGACAAAGCAAACCAATCAATGCCACCTACAGACATGAACCGGTCACGACCTCGCAAGAGAAGAACTAGTAAACGAAACCACTGCTGCGCCTTGAACCCAACCACACAAACCAAAGAAGGCTTTAGAGAAGAGCTAGTAGATGCACCTGCAACGATGTACGATCCGATTGACAAACCTCAAACACGAACCCAGCCCACCAGAAACCACACCCAAACGAGAGGTAGCACTCGGCGAAGAAGAACTAGGAACCCAAAACAGAGAGCTAGAGCAAGCATGACACTAAAACCGGAAAGCACAGCAATGCCGTACAATAACCCGTAGAGTTAGAACCAAGATCAAGCCTAACTACACCATTGCGCAAGCCAAAAACACCATCTAAACCTTCAACACAAACTAACAGATCTACACCAAGCACAACCAAGGAAAAGCCAACGAAAGCTCACCCGATAAAACCAAACAACCCACAGCCCCAAAAGAACCAAGAAGACAGAACCTCCACCAACAACCGCTTACTCTCTCTCGCCACGAGCCAGATCCACCAACATCCGGCCACACTAGCCAAAGAAAACCTTTAAACTCTGGAGAAACCGCAAATCCTTGCAAAACCCAACGTCGCAGCCACCAAAGATCCAATTGCGACAACTCCGCAACTCCAATCGTCTAAGCATCATCACAGAAGATACCGGCGTAGACTGAGAACAAAGCAAGATAACAACTAAAACAATCAAACAAAAGCCCTCTCACGGTGTCGGCGAGAAGCACCGACCACCGAAGAGGCAAGACTGAAATTTGTTTTTTTTTTTTTTTTTCTTCAACGGCGGCTAGACCTAATCGAGAGAGAAACGGGGGCTGTCATGGTAACAACTAACAAATAACAATATATAGCTAATGTGAAAATTAATTTGTTTATGAATAGGGATTATTGTTGATTTTACCATTTTTAATCAAAATCTTTTGAAAATACCATTTTTACTAAAATCTTACTAACTTGCTATTTTTTAACACTTACATATATATGATATTTTTTGCAAAAATACGTAATTTATACCAAATACTAAACTCTAATAACAAATGAAACCGACTAAACCCAAACATAACATATAAAACGCATGATAATTTACATTTTTATAGTCCGAAAAATGGCGAAATCCACAAACTATTAAAAAAGAGCAAAATCCCCAAATAAGGATAACCGAAAAATATATTTTTAGTATATTTTTATTTCTATAATTCTATATTCAATTCTGTTTCTAATGTAATGGAAAAGAATAAATATGTTGAAAAACATTATAAATGACCAAATAATAGGATGTAAAAAATATTTACTTTTGGGGAAAAAAAACAAAAAAATATTTACTTTTTATATTGTAATTAAAATAACTTCTTTCTTTCTTTCCTCGCCGAGGTCTTAAGTCTGAAGTCTGAACCCTAAACCATCCCGCTTCGCCGCTCAGGACCAAGAATCTCAGGTACCATGTCGACTTCTTGCTCTAACTATTGTCCATATCCCTATTTCTTCACAAAACTCAATTCTCTTTCGTTCAGATTTGGCTGATTTTGCATCATGACGAGGGTTTACGTCGGGAATTTGGACCCAAGGGTCACCGAAAGAGAACTCGAAGACGAATTCAGAATCTTCGGCGTTCTACGCAAGTAATTCATATCTCTGACCTTTAAGACATGTACTCTATTTTGTATCAAACCATACGAATTTTGACTCTTGATCTTAAAAAATCGCAGTGTTTGGGTAGCTCGTAGGCCTCCTGGTTACGCTTTCCTCGAGTTCGATGACGAGAGAGATGCTTTGGATGCAATTAGGGCATTGGATCGTTAGTGTTTCTTCTTATTAGATCTCTGAATTATCTTAATTTCTTGTTGCCTTGAATTATCATGTAACGATTGAGGCATGTACTTCAGGAAAGAATGGGTGGCGTGTGGAGCTTTCTCACAAAGATAAAGGAGGTCGTGGAGGCGGTGGTGGCCGTCGTGGCGGTATTGAGGATTCTAAGTGCTATGAGTGTGGTGAGCTTGGACATTTTGCTCGGGAGTGTCGCCGTGGTCGAGGCTCTGTGAGGCGTAGAAGTCCTAGTCCTCGTCGTCGTAGGAGTCCAGATTATGGGTATGGACGCAGGTGAGTCCAGCTAAAACATTCTTATTGAGCTGCTTAAATATTAGATGAGATATTATGTCATTTAGTCCATTGTAGTAGGAGTCTGGTTTTCATGTATAAACGAAGTTGTGACTTATAGAGTTCTTGTCCTGTATTTTAAAATAGCTGCGTAAAGTGTTAACATTTCCATTGAAATTGCATTTATTGGATTTTGTAATCAATTATAGGGCCTGCCTGAGTTGTTAATGTTAATCGTACCTTACCTTTCTTGATGTATGTCACATTTTTGATCCTCTGAATCGATTTTGTTCAGGAGTATAAGCCCGCGTGGAAGAAGATCTCCTCCAAGGCGTCGCAGTGTTACTCCACCTCGCCGTGGGCGGAGCTACAGCAGATCCCCTCCTTATCGTGGTTCTCGCCGGGATTCTCCTCGCCGCAGAGACTCACCCTATGGTCGACGTTCGCCATATGCCAATGGGTAAAAGTTCTTTCCTTTTCTTGGTTTTAGGTTTTCTCAATCTGCATGACTCAACTTCAGCATTCTCTATGTAAATCTGAATAACGTTTGAAGTATATTTGATATAAGGTATATATTCTTTGCGTTTCTTGCAGGGTGTGAAACTGGACCCTGAAGAGAAAGAAGATATTAAAACTTCTATGCTATGATGCTATATCTGCTATGTTTGGCCCTCTTTAGGATAGTTCTACTAGGATTGGTTGTTGAGCATGGTAGACATGTCATTGATGTGTTCGTGTTTTATTAGACAATTGGATTTGGTGAATTCTCCTTCAAGCTGTTTTCCAACAGCCGTCTTGACTTATTCTCTTTAACACGCACTAGCGTTGAACGCGCTGGCTTGCTGTCTTCACTCAGCGTGCTTGAACCCCTACACTTGAGGTCGTTCTTTCGTATCCATAAAATGTGTTTTGTGTCTTGTTGAATGCACTTACCTTATCATATAATATGTGTGACATATCTAAAAGGCTCAACTGTTTCCACTCTTTTTCCCTTGTGAGGTATGATTTATCGGGTAAGATACTGGGATCTCTCCGCAGCTGCGCTGCATCTTACTCTCCCCTCAACTTAGCTTTGCTATGAATCTGCATCGTCAACTCGACCATCATCAGCTAGATTTGCTTGTTACATTGTGTGACTTTTAGATTGCCCTGCTCTTTACTCACAACTCTTACCCCAATCTGCAAACCAAGCTTCTAAGGAGAAAGACAAAGCTGTTTCTTCACCCCGCCCCTTCCTCTTCATCTCCCTCGCTCTCAGCTGCTTTATCACCCCTTGGGTTCTCTGCTCACTTTTGTTTTCGGTCAACTTTGCACACATCTGTTGGTGGATCACACACTTACATTAAACCCTTTTGAGGATGCTTCTTTTTGTATTGCTTGTGAAAATCTGTTAGCGTAGTCTTTTGTGATCATGATTTAGTTTCCAACTTCTGCTTTTCTTTTCGATATAGTCATACATACTAATGAGTCTTGACTTTTAATCTGTTCTTCTTCGGCTGCAACATCCTTTCATGTGAATGCTTTTCTAAATTGTGTTTTGTGGAAATTTGGTTCAAAGGCTTTTTACTTGCATTAAATTTTACATGAAAGTGAAATGTAGCCACTAGCAAGGTCTTAAGTCAACGTCAACGTTAAAGTCAACCAATGAAGAACGACTAAACAATCTATAGATCTGTGATCTCCCTTATTCTTTGGTAAGAAGATAATAACTGCTAAAGGAGATGAAGATCGAGGAGGATCTAGGTTACATCAACGTACTCAAACGAGCAACAAAGCTTCTATGGGGTAACATCAATCTCGTTCTCTTCCTCTGCCTTTGCTCTCTCCCTCTCTTTTGTTTCTTGATCTTCTTCGAGCTCTCACTCCAAACCACTGTCTCATTCGCTTCTCAATACCTCGTTCGACAACTCAATAATTGGAATTACTACTACGTTCCTCGAGATGCTGCCTTGTCGGAGAATCTGCTTCCATTGCTTATCCAGACATTTCTACTCTACTTGTTCCCTTACAGCCTTCTAGACCTCCTCACCACCACCATAATAGTCTCCGCATCTTGGATTGTTCACACGTCCGAGGAGGAACCGTTAAGGTTCGGTCAATTGGTTCGGAGAACCGTAGAGATATGTCAAAACAGACTTGAAGGTTGTCTGATCACCTCTCTGTACATCCTTCTGATGTCAACCCCTGTTCTCTTTGGTTTCTTCTTTGTAGCAACGAACTATTTCTACATCATTTCTCTGATCGGATTAGGAGACTACTCACACTACTATTATATCGATCTGGATGAAGATAGCGGAGGTTATTACAGAAGCAGCCGCTTCGACGATCCGGTAAGGATGTTGTTTGATGCAGTTATGGCTATGTTTCATGGTGCTATCTATCTCGTTTTGCTGGCGATGTTCAGCAAGTGGAGTGCGGGATGGAACATGGGTTTGGTTATCTCGGTGTTAGAAGAAGATCAAGAAGAAGGTCAAAACATCTATGGAACCGATGCCCTGACGATCTCTGCTAAATATGGAAAAGGACATGAGAAGCGCGGTCTCCAAGTGATGCTGGTGTTCTTGGTCTTCGCTATTGCGATGAGGATGCCATGTTTTTGCTTCAAATGCACTGAGAGTTCGAATGGACATAGAGTGCTGTACACGAGTTTCTATGTGGGTTTGATCTGTGTTGGGAATATGATCAAATGGGTGGCTTGTGTAGTGTTTTATGAAGATTGTAGAGCCAAGGTTTTGGAGAAGAAAGGTGATGTGGAGATTGGATCAAAAGCTAAGACTTTTGTTGCATAGATAAATTGTCTTAGATCAAACCAAAGCTCTCGAATCTTAAACAATTTCTACATGACCAATAGCGCCACTGCCCTCTTCATCAAGCTTTCGTTATAGTTGCTCCGTTTATACCCTTAAGGTCATATTCCATTTTAATGTATTGTTGTGTGAGACCTATCAGTGTTCATGGCTTGGCCAAGTATTCATTGAAAGTTGTTATATTATTGAGTTGTGTTTGATATGAGATTTTAATGTACACTTATACAATGTAAAGTTTTTTTTTATTATCTTATCTCTAACATAAAAAAATGAAATTAAAATATATGTTTCCACAAGAATGATATTGGCACGTCTTAGATTTACTGGTTTTCACTGTTATCTCCAATACTTAGATCAAGGTTTCTGCTCATTGTAATGTAATTACAAAATGAAGTGTAAATAGTTCTAAATTGACAATTCTTGGGGTAAGTGGACTTGTGGACCAAACCAGAAGTCGCAATCCAATAGACTTGAAGCTTATCTAGTAAAACCCCACTACTAAATCAAACATTACATACAGTGAGTGACTTGTAGACGAAGTCAAGAAGTCAACGTCAATGAAGGACGACCATTAAATTACTCAACTTTTGCCATTACATGTTCCACTACACATACAGATCTGTGACTTCCCTTCTTCCATTGTGAGAAGAAAGAGATAAACAAATGGAGACGAAGAGCGATGAGAAGCTAAGTATCATCGAACTACTAAAACGAGCTGCGCAGCTACTCTTTGGTAACATCAATCTCGCTCTCTTCCTCTTCTTCTGCTCCCTCCCACTGTTTTGTTTCTTGATCTTCTTCGAGCTCTCCCTCCAAACTACTGTCTCACTCGCTTCCACATACCTCTCCAAACTAGTCAATTCTGAGGAAGACTTATCGGAGAATGATCTTATTCCATGGTTGGTGCAGACATCTCTACTCTACTTCTTTCCCTACACTATTATCGACCTCCTTACCACCACCACGATCGTTGCAGCATCTTCGATTTCTTACATTAGTATGGTTGTTTCGGTCTTAGAGGAGGAAGAAGATGGTAAAGGCATCTATGGAAGCAGTGCTTTGTCTCTTTCAGCTTGGTACTTAAGAGGACAAGAGAAGCGTGACCTATGGATGATGCTGATGTTCTTGGTCGGCGCTCTTGTGACGAGGATGCCATGTTTATACTACAAATGCAGTGAAAGTCTGAGTGGGAATGGAGTGTTGTACACTGGTCTCTATGTAGGTTTGATTTGTGTTGGGAATGTGGTTAAATGGGTGTCTTGTGTTGTTTGTTACCATGATTGTAACACAAGGGTTTTGAGGAAGAAGGGTGATGTGGAGATTGGATCAAAAGCCAAGGCTTTTGCTACATAGAGAAATTGTTTGTGACCAAATCTTTAACAATTTCTCTATCACCAATAGCTTTTGCCCTATACTTTAAATAACAAATTGAAGTTTTTTATAGTTCTCAAATCAGAAGACATTTTAAGCTTATCTAGTAAAACCCTACTAGTCAAACATTAACATACGGTGGCTTGTAGACAAAGTCAACAAGTCAACGTCAATGAAGGACACTAATATATTAAGACTAATTAGTACTTACATAGTTACATGTCCTACTTCATATACAGATCTGTGATTAGTCTTCTTCTTCAACTTCTATTGTGAGAAAAGAGATCAACAGATGGAGACCAAGAGCGAAGAGAAGCTAAGTGTCATCGAACTTCTAAAACTAGCTGCGAAGCTACTCTTCGGTAATAGCAATCTCTTGCTCTTCCTATGCCTCTGCTCTCTCCCACTGTTTTGTTTCTTGATCTTCTTTGAGCTCTCACTCCAAACCACTGTCTCTCTCACTTCCCAATTCCTCTTCAAACTACTCACTCTTGGAGAGGACTTGCCAGAGAATGATCTGATTCTCATATCAGAGAAAAAGAATGATATGATTCCATGGCTGATTCAGACATCTCTGCTCTACTTTTTCCCCTACACCATTCTTGACCTTCTTACTACCACAACAATCGTTGCAGCATCTTCGATTGTTTACACATCCAAGGAAGAGCCGTTAGGGCTGCTACATTTGGTTGGCAGATCTGTCAAAATATGTCAGAACAGAGTAGGTGGTTGTCTGATCACATCTCTTTATGTCCTCCTTTGGTCAACCTCTGTTTTTCTTTTCCTTTTCTTGTTCTTTTTTCTTCAGTTTCTCTCTGGTTCTACCAACTACGTATCCATTCCTTATCTCTCACGCGAATACAAAAGGTTCCACTACCAGGCAGCAGGGCTGTTCGACGTGGTGGTGGTGCTGACTCTTCTGATTCAGTGTACTCTCTTTATAGTTCTGACTGCAAAGCTCAGCAAGTGGAGCTCCGGTTGGAACATGGGTTTGGTTGTTTCGGTCTTGGAAGAAGACGAAGATGATCAAGGCATTTATGGAAGCGATGCTCTGTCTCTTTCAGCTTGGTATAGAAAAGGACATGAGAAGCGTGACCTCTGGTTGATGTTAATGTTCTTGGTCTTCAGTCTTGCGATGAGGATGCCATGTTTATACTCCAAATGCAGTGCGAGTGGAAATGGAGTGATGTACACTGGTTTCTATGTAGGCTTGATTTGTGTTGGGAATTTGCTTAAATGGGTGACTTGTCTTGCTTGTTACCATGATTGTAAAACTATGGTTTCGAGGAAGAAGCATGATGTTGAACAAGCTAAAATTCTTGCTGCTTAACGAGTTTGGCTGAGATCAATTCAAAGTGTGAATCTTTATAATAAATCGTAAAAAAAACAGAAAGGTGACTTCTCAGCTTCATCGCAAAAGCATAAGAACATGTTGTAAATAGGATTTGCTACTATGTAAATGTGTAATGCTATTATGCTAAAAGAAGACATAGTCACTTTTGCAGCTCTTGCAATGTGTTACAGAAACATGCATGAAACAACAGAACATTCTAAAAACAGTAAAATGCTTTTATTCTTGATAAATTCAACGATCCTCCAGATTAGTTTTCTTTCTCTTTTCAATTGGCTTTTGACTCAATTACCTTCTTGGCGAAAGAAGGCAAGCAGAATGCGGCTGAATGAATCTGAAACCCCGAAGAAATGAGAGCATAAGCTAAGAATTCGAGTGTCTAGACCGCATGAAATAGTATATCGAGAGATTTTTTCTTACCTCGGCATTGTAAAACTTCAAAGGTCCATTTGATTTGCTTGAGCTCTCGTCAATTGGGTTCAGTGGGTGTTTGAAGTCAACATCAGGTCCCTCAGTAGAACAAAGCATAAATCCAATAACCCCACTGAAAATAAGAAAAGTGTGAGATGATACACATTTTAAAGTTATAATCACACAAAAAGGAGAGAGATTGATGTTAAAGGTCATTAAACATGCCTGGGGTATGTTGGAACGCTGGTCCAGGCATAGTTCACAGAACCCTTGAAGATCTCACGGCAGTTTGCAACAATGTCTTCGATGATGTCCATGTGAAGCCACAAGCTTTCAGCCTGAGTACACACAACCCCACCAGGACGAAGAGCTCTAGCCACGGATTGGAAGAAGGGTTTCTCAAATAGCTCCTTTGCAGGACCTAACACACACCAGCAAGCATAAAAATAAGTAAAGCTGCTTTTTAGTTTTGTTCAACATAACAGCAAGGGTTAATGTGGTTTCTGATGAAAAATATGATTGTAGTAGTTACCGATTGGATCTGAAGAGTCAACAATAACCGCATCGTATGATCCTTCAGCAGCATTCTTCAAGAAAGCAACACCTGCAATTATTCATTAACTGATCAGTTTGAAAATATTTGAATTTAAAATGGCAAAATGTATCTAAAGCGCCAGTATTGTACCATCGCCAATGACAAGGTTCACGCGAGGATCCTCGTATCCAATTGCTACATCAGGGAAAAATTGCTTAGACACCTGAAAATTCCCAGTAGGTGGAATCAAATTAAACTAAAATACACATCCAAAAGTTCATTGTTTCATATAACAAGGCATTTATCGAAATAGAGATGCAGGAAAGGTGAAAAGTAAGTGGCCACTCACGTCGACCACCATTTTATCAATTTCACACATGTCAATCTGCTCAACAGAAGCATGGCGTGCAACTTCCCGCAGGACACCTCCATCTCCTCCTCCAATAACTAAGACCTATGGAAAAACTAGAAAGGCATTGATCAGATACACTCTGGCTTATAGCTTTACTAGCTAAAAGCACAACCAACATTTCTAGCTGCTCCACTTTACCACAAACCCAAAATAGTTAGACTACCCAATTCTTATACTTGGGAGCAAAAGCAACTATGAATGTAAGAAGCTTTGATTATCTACCTTTTCTCAAACAAGTCCCCATTAACAAGCTAAAGGATAATCATTTAAGCCCATTGAAACAAATTTCTATCATAATATTATTATCCAATAAAGTTTACTTGAGTTCTCTAACTTTGCCAGAAGAGAACATGGGACTATGTACCTTTTTTCTCAGGAGGCCATCAAAGTTTGTACATTTAAAAAGCAAAAAAATGGTAATCATCTACCTTTTCTCTAGTGGACATTCCTATCACCACCCTGGAATGTAATCATTTATGCCAACTCAAGTAGTTTCTATATTCACATCTGATAAAAGGAACTCTGGTTTCTCTATTTCTCCCATAACTAATGATTTAATCATCCTACTTTACCGGAGAAGAAAAATGCAAACTTAAAAAACCTTTCATTACATTCCAAAGCTATAGACTTTTTGATTACCCAAACAACACACACACAACCCAAAATGCAACAAAGGTCACAGGCAAAGGAACAGAGTGAAAATGGTTCTAAAAGGATTGATTTATACCTTCTTAGGGTTAGGAATAGAGCACAAAGGAAGATGAGTGATCATTTCTTGATAGGCACATTCATCTCTCTCGGTAAGTTGGATTACTCCATCCAAAACCAAAACTTTTCCATATGTTGCAGACTAACAACACACACAAATCCAATCAAATTAAGCAAAGAAACAACACAAAAACAGAGAAATGATTCCTTTTTTTTTTCTCCTTACCTGGAAAACAATCACATCTTGATAATCTGATTTCCCTTGAAACAAAACTTTCTCAACCTTCAATGAGTGTGCTTCTCCTGCATCTCAAACCAATTAAAAAGTTCAGCTTTTTAATTTCAAAACTAATAAAAAAGTTGAGCTTTTTAATTATAAGAAGCCAGAATTTGTTTTGAGAGAGGAATAAAAGAAGACCTGGCCACATAGGACTCATTTCAGAGAACCAGCCAGGAATGACAGTGGAGAAACAAGCAGGCTCCTTTTTCTGATCTCCGTTCTCCGTCTCCATGGTTGCGGCGGCGCCGTTATCATCCTCTTCTCTCGGTCTTTTCAAATCGGTGGCGGAGGATTCTTTAGCATCCATGGTTAATGCTCTGGTGAATATCTCCGAGAAATGAGAGAGAGGAATTAGGGTTTTTGAGGAGAGGTGGTGATTTTGATGTGAAGTGAAGCTGAAGATATAAGGAAGAGAAGAGCGTAACACTGAACATATCATTTCATTTTTTATTATTATTTTTTTCAACGTTAGTGAAATTGGGAAATTATTATGTGATGATAATTCTACTTTTGCCTCGAATATATCGTTTCTTTAACTTTTGGGCCTTTTTTGTTTTATTTTATTTCTTTAAAGAGAAGCTTTTTGGCTTTTTATGTTCTGTTTTTATTCGTGTCTTTGATGCTCACTCGCTTTTTCGCACGTTTACACCACGCGCTATCTCACGTGCAAAATTCTCATACGCCAAAATGAGACCTGACTTGTGTTATGAACATGGACGGACGAGAAATATTCCCACATTCTCAATTGGTTTGGTTTAGTTATACCAATTCTAAAATTTATAATCTTTTTCAATTGTTTTTGGAATAAGAAGATTTGGTACCTATCTATATACTTCTATAATATAAAACTTTTTTGTGACAACAAATCTGCTATACACATAGCTACAAATCCGGTGTTTCATGAACGCACCAAACATATAGAGATTGATTGTCACATCACAAGAGATCAGGTCGAGAATGGATTTCTGAAGTTGTTTCATGTTACAACTGAGAATCAGCATGCTGATATTTTGACTAAAGCTCTCCATCTAGGACCATTCCATTCTCTTCTTCAACATATGTCCATTTCAAACTTCTTTTCATCTGACCACAGTTCTATTTCAGAAGCTTGAGGGAGGTGTATTGGAGTATATTTAGATAATCGGGTTTGTTATCACCGGTTTAGATTAATTACACTTGTATATAAATAACATTATGTACATTGTTTTCATTTAATGAGAAATCCACATTATTTCAGCTCTACTTTAATAATAATGATGTTTCAGTTTCATACGTTTGTTCCTAGTTCATGTTAGCCATTTCGAACGTACGCCGTACGGTCTATTTATAATATATATATGTTTCTAATAGGGCCGAATCTTATACGAACACGATAATCTCTTCTTTTTATCTGTCTATTAAAAGAAATTTTGGTAGGGATAAACAAGTAAATGCTAAAATGATTTTCTATAAATGAACAAAAAGAAATACGTTTACGTATCCACAATGTCTATGCACTATGATAAGATATTTGGTTATGCATGAAAAGATGTTTGGAAATCCCCAAAAGAATTTAAGTTTTTTTATAATTTGAAATATGAAAACGTGATAATCAATGTGCATTGGCATTTTTAGCGATCATATAAGTTTTCATAGCTAACTACTAACCCATATAAGTTTCTGTCAATTTTAGATAAATTTGTCCTCATTTGTTTTTATAAAAGTGTTGTTTCAACCCAAAAAAAAAAAAAGGCTATAAAAAACCTAGTAATAAGGAGATTTATGGCTAAAATATAGCCTTATCCATCGAATTGTTCTGTTTTTGTAAGGCTGGGTCCAAACTAAGTTACACGTAATGTAACATTGACACATTGTCAAGATCATAACTTAGTGTTAACCAAGAAATATTTTTGGTAACAAATTATCACTAAAAATATGATATTATCTCTATACAAACCTATAATAACAATTTAAAACGTAATCTTTAATGCCAACACACAAAGTGAACCACTATATTATACCATAACTAATCATTTATCCTACTGATATTGAGATTAACGATATAAGTAAAATAATCACCTATTTTTAGTGTGGTAGGTGAACCACTCAAATCACTTCAAAATAATCGGGACGTAATACTTTTCACTTACGCCTTTCGATGCCGTACCACACTTTTTTAAGTCACCATTCACACTTTTCTTTTGATAAAATCTCCATTCCCACACTTAAATATCGTTTTAACAATTAATTATTTTCTATGATGTTAATTTTAAATATTTTCTGTAAAAATATTCTAGTTTACTTCTTTTGTCAGCACATTCTTAATATATCTATGATACTACAATTACAACTATAACTCCGAAGATTATGGTACTACTAAGTAAAAGAAAAGATAGAAACGAATGATTAATAAAATGATATTATATATTTTAGTGTAGACACGAACTTTTGATTTGACTCTTGTGTCGACGACAAGTGGGGAATGAATGTGATATTTTGATCCCTGAAATGGTTCTTCCTTATGTTCGTTACTTAAATGTGAAAGTATCATTACTCGTGTGCTTGCTACCATAAAACAGAGCTCTCACACCAATACAAAAGCGACCATCACCGTGAGAAAGAGAAGAAGAAGAAAGAAACTTAGCCATGGCATCAAGAAGAGTTTCTTCGCTGCTCTCTCGCTCTTTCATGTCCTCATCACCTTCTCTCTTCTCTCTTAGAGGTATCTAAATGCGATCCGATCCATTTTGTAGAGTCATTGCTTCTCTGTCATAGTTATTTGCTCTGTTCCTTGTGTGTATCTTGATGATCGAGATCGTTCTGTTTTCATTTTCTCTATTCGGATCCATGATCAACGAGTTTTTCAGATTTTTGTGGTTACTTCTCGATATAGATTTGATTATCTTGATCTCATTTAGATGCGTTCTTGTTTGTTTCTTCAGGAATGAACAGAGGAGCTCAAAGATACAGTAACGCCGCTGCTGCTGTTGAAAACACTATTACACCACCAGTGAAAGTCGAACACACACAGCTTCTAATCGGTGGAAGATTCGTTGATGCAGTGTCAGGTAAGAAATGTTTACCCTTGTCAATATCTGAAAAGTTCGTTAATATATTGATACTTGATTGTTTTGAAATTACAGGAAAAACTTTCCCTACTTTGGATCCAAGGAATGGAGAAGTGATTGCTCAGGTAGCTGAAGGTGATGCAGAAGACGTGAACCGCGCGGTTGCAGCTGCACGAAAGGCTTTTGATGAAGGACCATGGCCTAGAATGACTGCTTATGTATATAACAACTTTGTCTGTACTTATCTTTTGTGTTTATTTGTGCTTTTGAAATGACTCTTAGCTTTGTTAATTTCTTCAGGAGAGATCAAAGATACTGTTTCGTTTCGCGGATTTAATCGAGAAACATAACGATGAGATTGCTGCTCTTGAGACTTGGGATAATGGGAAACCTTATGAACAATCTGTTCAAATTGAAGTGCCAATGCTTGCTAGGGTGTTCCGGTACTATGCTGGTGAGTGAAACCACTGATACATATTGTGTACTTTTTCATGATCTCTTTAAGGAGTTTTGTGTGTTGTTCTTCGATGAGTTTCTTAGGTTGGGCAGACAAGATCCATGGAATGACAATGCCAGGAGATGGTCCACACCATGTGCAGACATTGCATGAGCCTATAGGAGTCGCTGGACAAATCATCCCATGGAACTTCCCTCTTCTCATGCTTTCTTGGAAACTCGGACCAGCTTTAGCTTGCGGTAACACCATTGTTCTCAAGACTGCTGAGCAAACTCCTTTATCTGCTCTTCTTGTTGGAAAACTTCTTCATGAGGTAACAATGTGCTCTTCAGTGAGATTTTGTTTCATTGATGTTATGTTTTTCTCAAGTAACTGATATTTTTATGACACAGGCTGGACTTCCTGATGGAGTTGTGAATATAGTTTCTGGATTCGGTGCAACAGCTGGTGCAGCTATAGCTAGTCACATGGACGTTGATAAGGTTTAAAAGACAAACTATGAAAAATTCTTCTATTAAAAGACAGAAGTTATGCCTTCTATAGAATTTCTGATAAATCCCTCTGCACTCTACAGGTTGCTTTCACCGGGTCTACTGATGTTGGGAAGATTATTCTTGAGTTGGCCTCAAAAAGTAACCTTAAGGCAGTGACTCTTGAGCTTGGAGGCAAGTCACCATTCATTGTATGTGAAGATGCTGATGTTGATCAAGCCGTTGAGCTTGCACATTTCGCTTTGTTCTTTAACCAGGTACCATCACTCAATATACCTCAATGTATGGTTTATATGGTTTCCATGGATAAGTATAACCTGTCCTGCTTAACTTGTAGGGACAATGTTGCTGTGCTGGTTCGCGTACATTTGTACATGAACGCGTGTATGATGAGTTTGTAGAGAAAGCTAAGGCTCGTGCACTCAAGCGCAATGTTGGAGATCCCTTCAAGTCAGGCATTGAGCAAGGTCCCCAGGTAGACAGAACAGCATTTAGAAACCGTAACCTTACCACGTTCTCGGTGAAAAACAGAACAACATTTCAACTTTCCTAACTTGTATTGGACCAAAAAACAGGTTGACTCAGAGCAATTCAAGAAAATCTTGAAGTACATCAAATATGGAGTTGAGGCTGGAGCCACATTACAAGCTGGAGGTGACCGGCTTGGTTCCAAGGGTTACTACATTCAACCTACTGTCTTCTCAGACGTTAAAGTAAGTAAACAGTATGTTACCCTTAAACAAAACTCAATTGCCATTACAGTTTCTTGCGAAAACCGATTTATATGGACCGTATTGAACTTGGCAGGATGACATGCTCATAGCCACAGACGAGATTTTCGGGCCGGTTCAAACCATACTGAAATTCAAGTACAATCTAAATGCTAAACAAAATATTTCCTCTTTGTTGATATTTTCTGATTAAACTTCACTAATGGATTTTGATGTTTCTTAGGGATCTTGATGAGGTGATTGCAAGAGCGAACAACTCGAGGTATGGTTTAGCTGCAGGAGTGTTCACACAGAATCTGGACACAGCGCACCGGCTAATGCGAGCACTCAGGGTTGGGACCGTTTGGATTAACTGTTTCGATGTTCTTGATGCATCGATTCCATTTGGAGGGTATAAGATGAGTGGCATTGGAAGAGAGAAAGGTCTCTACAGTCTCAACAATTACTTGCAAGTCAAGGCTGTTGTCACTTCCCTCAAGAACCCGGCCTGGCTCTAAACCATACCAGGTGGTATCTCGCCCTTAAGTAGCTGGACTTACGCTTATTTATCGAGTTTGGTTTATAATGGATTTGCACTTTTGCTTTGGGAAACCTGGAGTTGTTTTGTCTCTAGGTTTTCTAGATTTTGAGAGTAATAATTTATCTTCAAACACATTTTACAAATAAAGCTAAATGAAAATGTGTGATCAATAAACACATACTCTTATTAGTTTCATTGATGTGTATATGAACTTGACTAATAACAATAGAATCCATGAATACTCTCTATAAGCAGTGGAAACTAAAAGCCTTTTCACAGTAGACGTAGAAGTGGTAACAAACAACATAAAATCTCGATATCGCGCTTATGGTTCATGGATTCTTCAACTTGATTCTGAGCTTTCTAGTGATATGTGATGCTCTTGGATGAACTGGTCGTTTCGTGTTATCAGCACATTGTTCTGCTTCCACCCAGTTTACAACTTTGAGAATCAGAGACTGTGGAACCTTCTTAACATCTGCATCACTTGTGTCTCTGCACTTCTTCATCCCTTTCTCCAAAGCCTTTTCTATAAACTCCATGAACCAATTTGCAGCTTCATTCTCTATCTCTTTCACCAACCTCGCGGTGTTTCCTAACCTGGAAGAAGGAGCTGCGGGGTTCTTGTTCTCATCGTTTGATCTCATTTGCTTGTGATTTTGCTGCTGCTTCAGGACAGTTCTTCTCTTTGATGTTGTTTTCTCCTGATCAATAGAGTTGTGCGGGATTTCGTGTAGTATCGACGATGATCCATCCTCAGATTTGTTCTCAGTAGTAGAAGCAGCTGCTTCAATGGACGCGATTTCGTTCACGGTCTCAGATATCTGGCTGTGAAACTCCAAGAACTTGTCGAAGCACGCAGCCGGACAATCAGCTTTTGCTGATTTGCTTAGATTGGCAAATGTCCTGCATTTTCCCAAAAAAGATTCATAAGAACATTTCAAACACAAACATCCATAAATCATACAATGAAACCGATCAAGAAGAGATTGTTGTGTGTACTTGAGATGACGAACGACTGTTTCGGTAGCTGTAGCTTCTCTCAATGCCTGAAGAGCTATCTTCTGAGCCGTCTCTCGCTGCTGCATAGCTTCCTGTTCAGATACAAAGACATATCTCAGTATCACCAAACACATTCTTAAAAGAACCTAACCATTGAATATAACATTCAAATTTATGCAAACCTTGCTCAGTGTGCTAAGTCTTCCTGGTAGACTCAAACTCTTCTCTGTTTTTTCCAACTTGCTATACTTAGATTCATGCTTTGGAGAAGCCAGCTTTGAGGTAGACTTTGGAGCCTCTCTTTCATCTTCCAACAAAGCAGCTGCTGTTGCTCTTCTAGTACGCATACTCGGAGGTGGTGAATCGCTTTTCTTTGCCTGCAAAATCAAGATTATTAAGCCATTGTTAACTCTCTCCACAAAACCCTTTAAGCTTAAGCCAATAGAGAAAACACAGAGCAAAATGTACCTACAGAGGATTTAAAAGGACTAAGAAGAACAGAAGAAACAGAGTTCTTCACCATCATCTCTCTATCGCAAACACTTCTACTTCTCGGAAACTTCGAACTCGGCGGAACAACACAGCTCTTCCTCATCATCGCAGCAGGACTCTCTCCTTTAAGATCCACCATTTTCGACAAAAGCCCTCCTCCATAAGAACACCTAACACCACCAGGTGATCTCCCTCTAGTCATAACCACCGGAGACCCCGCCATGAATCTCCCTGTACCAAGCCTATGTTTCGCCGGCGTACACTGATCAAAATCCAAAGGTGCAGGCTTTAACACAAACAGAGACGAAACATCACCGTTTTGACCCCAAGAGCCTCTTCTCGGTCTCGTCCCAGACTCTTTCTCAATCTTTCCTCTTGTACTCATCAATGGCTCAGGAGTTCCAAGCAACGGATGTCGTCCCGGAATCGGTCTAGCACCTTTGATGATCGGAACAGGTGTCCCTGGATCAAGCCGATCAACGTAGATAAACTGACCTAACTGCATCTTGTTGCTGAGAACGTCGTCGTCTTGATCAGAAGGAAGACTAACGTAGATTGAGTGAGAAGAATCAGAGACTTTTATGAAGAAGCCTTGTTTGGGTATAAGATTCTTCTCGTCAAGATCAACGGGGACGATATCAGTGACTTGTAATAACGAGCTTCTGTGTTCTCCGGTGGGTTTAACTCCGGTTTTCATACCGTCGATTAGCTTTTGAAGGATTCCGGGGGCTAAAGCCGCCATTGTTGTTGAATTCAAGATTGAGAATTTGTGATTCAGATGAGAAAATCACAGAAATTCAAGAAATGGGTTTTGATCGGGAAGAAACGAATTGCGTGATTGAAGAATTTAGGGTTCTTAGTCGGAGAGATCCAACGGTAAGTAATAAGTGTACTTGAAGAAGAAAGAGGAATGGGAAGATTGAAAATAAAAATTGAAACTTTTTTTGAATAAAGAAGAAAAAATTGGGGATTTTTTTTTTTTTTTTGGAACGTTATGAGCAACGGTCGAATTTGGTGGTGGGTCTTTGTATTCGTATTCGTATTTGTAATTTACTAGATTTTAACCCGCGGTACACCGCGGGGCTATATTTTCTTAAAAAAATCAAAATGTAATTTGTTTGATAGATTATTTTGATTGTTAATTTTAGGATTTCACCCGTGGTATACTATCTTTTATAAATATCAACCCAAACCCGTCCCATCATATTACCCGTCCCATCATATTACCCGTCCCGTGAAATTAAACATCATTTAGTTATTTTTCTTTTTAATAATACTTTTATTTAAAAGCTATATAATTCAAGTCAATTTAAAAATTTCTTTTAAATGGTTCCCATAAGATATATATACATATATATTAAATTTGTATAGAGTTGAAATAATATTAATATTACAAACTTTTTATATAATTTAAATATTATAAATATTTTTAAAAATATGCAATATATATTTTTTGTTATTGAATAAGAGGATATTATGTGTAAGAAATGTAGAAAATAAGAGTTTAATATTTTTATTATGGAGTCGCAAGAAAAATCTTTTATTTCTATACATGTTATTCGTTTATTAATAATAAAAGAAAACAAATCCTTTAAATTAGATATTAACTAAAATAAACGCACCATAATTACTTATTAAGTAACAACCAATAAATTTCACCAAAAAATAGGTAACAACCAATAAATTCTAAACGCAGTAATTAAAGAATGAGATATTAAAAAAAAATATCAAATAAGATATAAGAATCTTAAAATAATTGAATATCTAAATAATTTAATTGTTAGTGTCGATTTTAATGCCTTCATTAATGTGGATTTTTTTTTTAGAGAGAAATATTTCCTAAAGATTATCACATTAATGACTCAGAAAATTAAGGAAGATATGAATTTATGATTCTCGAAATCGTGTTGGTAATATCTTTAATTAATATTTTTCAAATTTAAATAATTAATGCCAATGGCATTCATCCGTAAATACATTCCAACTCCAGGATTTATTTGCTAAAAGTCATCCAAAAATGTATATATAGATTTTATTGATTTGGATAATTATATTTATAATGTTGAATAGTGAATTTGTTGTGTTTGTTTTATGTCTATGTGCCTATGTGGATTCGCCACCTCGTTTTAAAAAATGGTAGGTAAGCAATGTAGTGTGTATTTATGATCCATTTTTCAAAATAGTTACCATTTGTAATGAACAAAAGTATATGAAAAACAAATGTCCACAGCTATTTCTCATATTTATTACAATTCTTTAAGATTTATAGGAATTGATTTATATTTATTTATTATCTTTAAAGATATGAATTGTTGTAAATAAGATAATGATCATATTGAGAAGCTTGATGATTCAAAGTTCCATCAAAGGGAAAAACTAGAGTAAGGTCCAATTCAACTCATTCTATACTTTAGTGGAATTTTTATTTCAAGTAAACACTATTTGGACTTGATGAGATCTTGTCGTGATTGATGAATGTACCGCCAAAAAAAAGAGAGTAACTATTAGTTAAGTTCCTTAAGGAACTTTGATTTTGTCTCCTTTATAATTTCATTCGTTAATTAACTAATCGAAGAACTAAAATAATGCATGGAAAATTAATGTTTAACTGTACTTGTATCGCTTCCAATAAGCCACTTAAAACACAACGACGCACTAAATATATTAGTGATTATAATTAGTTCCTTTGCGGAATATACAGAGATTATAATTAGTTCCTTTGCGGAATTAAAAATTACTAATGTTGACTAACTTTTTTGGTTGTATATATATAAACTAGGGGAGGTCCCGCGCCCGGCGCGGGGTTGTATGTTGATTAAGACCAGAATTACTAATCAATATTTAGAGTTATCAAGTTAGGGATATTTATTGATTTAGTTTTGTCAAAGAGTCTAATTTTTATAACGACATTAATATAGAATTATGGTAAAACGCTATAACTTTTGATATATATTATTAGTAATCAACAATTAATAGTGTTTTTTAATCACAAACAATTTATTAGTGTTTATATCTTGATATATATAATAGAATTAAATATAAAAAATCTATATATTTAAACCAACAATATATTACTCCCTCTGTTTCATTATATTAGATGTTTTAGGGATTTTATTTTGTTTCATATTATAAGATGTTTTACAAGTTTCAAAGTTAATTTAAATGCATTTGACCATTTATGACTATTTATATTTTGCAGTCATTATTATGATTGAGTTTTTTTTTCCAACTAAATATAAATGATGTTTTTAAAAGAAAATAAAATATCTAAATATGTGTTCATTTACCTTAAACCTCTTATATTTTGAAACAGAGGGAGTATTAAATTAAAGATTGTAGGCATAGATATGGAGACTAAACATCGATAATATTTACGATCTTGTAAAATTAAATGTTATGTTAACTTGCAAATTCCTTCAATTTTTACCAAACATTGAAGTTTAAAGATTATGTTCATTTGGAAACTCCTTCCATTATCCCAAAGATATTGATGTCAAAACTCTTACGTTAATTTTGATATCACGCTCTTCTTCTCCAGATTATTTTAATAATTGTCCACTCGTCAAAGACTGTCTTCTTAGGGGCAAATTCAATTTGATGAGTGTTGTCTTTGCACTATTGCAACAAAGTCTTGGGATCACCTCCTGCTCCTCTGTGAGCTCTTCCGAGGTGTGGAATTTGGTTTTCCCTAGGCATTCTCCTCGACACGGTTGTTTTGCTCTTGGACTGAGCTACTTTCTTGGACATGACACTCTTCTTCTCATGAGACATGTAAATAATTGTCCACTCGTCAAAGACTCGGTTCTTGGGGATAAATTCAATTCGATGAGCGTTGTCAAGGTAAAATCTAGAACATCCACCTCCATTCATGAGACATGGTTTCCCTGAAAAATATTCAATTCGATAAGATCATACAACATATTAACTGTCTTAAGTTTTTTTATTTTTAATATGATAAAGAAATATCAATCAATACCTATATACTAATCGGCCGAGTGGAATAATCAAAAGAATTAAAAATTTAAACAATTTTTAGTTTACAAAATTATGTTTTAACATATAGATAAATATATTGATCACATAAAACTGAAAATGATAAACGTGTATTCTTCAAGACCAAATCTTCAAGATCAATAAAGATTTGACAACGGAGAAAGATTATGCTTGGAGAATAACCATTCAACAATTTTTTTTCTTCTTCTTTTATAATTCTTTATGCAATTGTGTTTTATAGGCCTAAACATTAAGGAAGTTTATAGACTTTGTTAATGATTATATTATACCAAGTATAAATTTGGCATATAGTATTTACAAAATTTTGTGTAATGCCATACCAAATTATAAAACTATGATTTTTGGATTCATCCTATTACTTACAAAAAAACATAAAATCAACCATTACTTTTATCAACTATGGCTTACAAACAATGTTAATAGTCTATCTTTTACCATATTTACATATTCAAAATTTGTAATGTGATCGCCATTAATAAGTTATAATTAATAATAACAGTTATTTTAAATTATATTAATTGTTTTTATACACAAAAAACTCAAAAATTGTCTTCTCAAATGCTATTTTTAAATTATCAAAAATTATTATTTATATAAAATAAAGACCTATTGATTAAATCAAAAATGTTCTTCATTGATATGAAAACATAATATAAAAATAAAAAAATTATTAAAAACCAATGAAATATTAAAAACCCTAACATAAGCAAAGGTATAGTAATCTTAAAAACCATAATGCAACAACTAATACGTAGTGGTGAGAGACACAATTTTTTTTATCTCGTCTTTGATTGTCAAGAACTAAATATCATCATCTCTACCAACAAAAACACTTTGCATCGCTTCTATTTAAGGTGTCCAAGTCGTTGATATCTTCATCTCTAGCTTTGAGAGACTTCTAGCATTCATGTGTCCAAGTCGCTGATTGCAGAGCACCAGATCATCCTTCTTAGCTCTAAAACATGTTTTAGTTAGGTTTTCCCACATGTAACAATTGTTCTCAGTACGGATTTCGGAGAGAGCATTGCGGTTCTTCTCATCTGTAGTCCAACATTTCACTTTATTGAAGCTCACTGTTAATCCTTGAACAATATACACATTGGTGAGTTGAGGTTCTTTAGCTTCAGTTAAGTCTCTTTTGCCCTTAATCTTTCCCTTTTCTCCACCACCAAACGTGACTTTGCTCTCTTTTACTTCAGTGTAATTGTTGAGATTGGCTTGATTCCATGTGATATGTCTAGAAGCTCCATTATCGAAGTACCAAAGTTTAGTCATACTTTTTTCAATTAAGGTATATGCAACATGGCAGTACATATCAGATTTTGCAAACATTTACTTTATACTCTCTTCTCTAATGTGGATAGAACCTTCCATGTCTCATTAGGTTCTTCAATTTAGCTGCATATGTGTAGCAGTACATCTATATGTGACCATGACGACCACATCAATAACATTCATACCCAGTCACTGCTCTGTGATAATGGTTATGATTCTGATGCAAACGTCTTGCTCAAACAGCTCCAATGTAGTTTTGAAATAAAAACTGATAACGACGTGCATGTACACCCTTTCTTGGAACGAAATTTGTCTTCCCACTTGTCTCACCTCCATGATAGCCTAATCTAAAATTAGATTTTCCAACTCTCCCAGACCCTAAGTGTAATGCCCTCACCACCACCTCACTTAATGGGCCCCACGTCCTCTCTCGGCCCGTGGGCCCACTATCTTCTGACGGCCGGTTCGCTATGTCCAAGAGGCTTTAAAGACTTGTTTACCGACCCTACAAATCACCACATGATCTTTCCCTGTGTTTTGTCCTCACTCACACAGTTCCGATAATAACTTCTCAGAAGGTCACCCATCCTAAAATTGTTCCAGCTCAAGCACGCTTAACTGTGGAGTTCTCTCAGGACAGTTGACCGAAAAAATAAGTGCACTTTTGTGACATAGGAGGCCAAATCAATTCTTTTAAACCTCTCCGCATGCACTACCATATTCCTGAAATCGGGGTGTTACAATTCCCAAATTAATAGAAGTATAAGGGACACACTTCTCGCTCGTCGGTATCGCAAAGGTTGTGGTCGACTTCTATCCCAGTGGTTTGCTCATTCCTAGTTTGCTCTAAGTATTCCTTTTGCTTAGTTGTTTTAGTTTCTATGGCTTTTTCCTTTTTTTTTGGTCATAGTACCTCTTTGCCCCAGAGCCTTTGTATATAACAATGTTCTTTTCGGTAATATAAATTCACATTTTATCAAAAAAAAAAAAAAACGGTGTCTAGTTCATATGTAGCTAATTAATATAATCATTTCATCAATCTCTTCTCCTGTCAAATGACCTTTATCGTTCGTTATTGTAATTGACTGTGACATCTTTGGAACTTTGTCTTCGGTGTTCACTTGCAGAATCCCATTTGCGTCCACTTCGAAAGTCACCTCCATCTGTGGCACCCCCATGAAAAACTGTTCCTTGCGTCTTTAAAAAACCAAGAACCGAAATGGTTTAGTAGCCAATATTGAATTAGAGAGTTTACCTAGGTGCATGAAGAAGGCCGGTGAGCTGGAAATTTCCGAGCTCGGGGTTATCTTTCGTCATGCTTATCTCTTCATAGACGTTGATAGTAACAGTAGTTTGCTGATCTTGGTAAGTAGTGAACACCTGAGACTTCTTCGTTGGGATCCGAGGAATAATGTTTGTCATCACGCCTCCGACAGGGTCAATACCGAGGTGCAAAGGCGCAACATCAAGTAGCAAAATATTTGTTTTCAATAAATTTAGGTTTTCTGCAACTCAAATACATGACTAACATGAAAACACTATAGATGGTCTAAACTATTGTCATAAAGAGAGTTAAAAAGAGTCACTTACTTTGCGTTTCTTCTCCACCTTCACCACTTAATACTCCACCTTGGACGGCGGTTGTATAGGCCAAAACCTCATCAGGGTTAGTTCCTTTGTTGGGTTCCTTGCCATCGAAGAAATCCTTTAACATCTACTGAACTTTTGGGATTCGAGTGCTTCCTCCAAATAAGAATCACAAAAGAAACCTTAGATACCCAAATGAAACAAATCCTAATATTTTTGGAGAATTTATTCATGAAATGATGTCTGCTTGACTAAAAGGAGAAAAATACCACGTTTACAAACTTTTAAAGAGGGAAACATTGGAACCCTAATCTAAATCCATAATGAAAATATTAATTACCTATCCAACCGGTTCATAAAAACTTAGGGTTTACACACATCCAACCTACTCTTTCGTATTCACCCGATGACATGTTTGCTAGAACATGGCGATGATCAACGAAACAACGAAGTGGACATATCCTTCAAAACAATAAAATTTAATATTAGATAATACCAGATCTAAAATATAACAAATAGACGACAACACAAATCCCACCAAAAGAAGATCGTGGAGATTCATATCCAGGCTGATCCATGGTGTCTTCCAGCACCGGAGGAACACCAGCATACGAACTTGACATCAAAGTGAACAGCTTCAAAATAACCTGGTCACCGGATTTCACATCCTCTAAATTATTTCCAAAACTTTAATTCTTCAAATAAAAATCCATTGGTTATCCTATACATCATAAAATCTTCTAATTTCTTACCTAATATACGTACCTTTGCTTCTTAATTATCAATACCTTTTTGAGAAATCCCAAAGATCCTTGACCAAAACAAAAGAGACAGTTTTTCTGAAAACCGAATAGGTGAGACAAAAAACCTTAGAAAACAGAAGCAGTTAACATATATAAGAGAAAATCAAAGAAGCTTTTTATTTTATTTTATAACTTCCTTCCTCTACAACTTAAAAACAAAAATTAACCCACTTTATTATATAATTAACTCACTTGAACATGGATAATGGAACCGTGATTTTGAAGATGAAGAGAGAAAAGGGAGACTTGATAAGAGCTATTGGTGTAGTTATAATCGCTAGATGGTACTCCTCCTGAGGTTAAAAAAAAAAAAAAAAAGAATTCGACTCACATGTTATATGTGTGAGATATATAGAGATAAGAGACTCATACAGTTTAGGAACGCAACAGTACGAAACAACTTGTTAAAAAACAAACAACAAAGATAGAAAACATGAATCGAAATAATATCAGTTTTGATTCTACCTACATGGTTCCTTCTTCTTTTCCTATAAGCCTTCTCTGATCAATATATCCTTTTCTTTCTCTTTTGATTCTTTTCACGCTTCCTTCTTCTCCTTGTCTCAATGTCTTCTTCTTCTTCTTCTTCTTCCTCTTTCTGTTTGTCTTCTCCAATATGCTCTTTCTTTTCTTCTTTACTTGGTACGGTGCCAACGTGATCACGTTGGCGATAACATAAGAAGGCTCACAAATTTCAGTGATCTCCAACGTGGCTGTGGTGGTGATGATCTCAACGACGGCGGCTTGGATGCACAATGGATATCAGATTCAGTTTCTCTCTTGAAACTTTATGGCTTAGGGTTTGCGTGAGTTGAGACTCGGCGGTGGCGGTGTCTCCGGCTATGACGATAGGAAGTTAATGTATTTATAGGAGGTTAAATATGTGTTTCTAGGGTTTACGATTTAACATATAGTCGGTGTAGTTGTATATTTTGTTCGGCCCATATTGGTTAAACGGATTACACAATGTGGCCTTTTATTTAAACGAAAATCATTTAATATAATTAGATTAAAAACGGAAAAAAAACAAGAGCTCAACAAGAGCCGTGTGTCTGACACGTCAGCAAAAACACTTCTCAAATATTGTTATTTATAGATATATTAGTAACGGAAACAACAATTTAGAGGTAGTTCAGACAGTTAAAAAGTGAAATGTATGCTGAGCAAACCTCAACAGAAGTTGGACTTTTATGTCCAAAACATAGATTAGTTGGAACCAATCAACTAAGCAAAGTTGATGTACTTTATTTGATCACAACTGTAAAATTTTATTTATATGCCAAAATCAGATCGACGCTAGTATTTGCATCTCTCATAATCAGAAACAATCACACAAACTACAAAATATCGATAGAACAATATCGTTTTCTTAGTTCGAGCTACAATGTTGAACATTGATGACTATGTTACAACGGTGTTGCAAATGCTATAGTCGAATTTGGTTAGTCGTTGTACAATTGGTAAACCATGACTTGGTGAATCCGAGTGTAGTTGAAGTTCCATGCTTATTTATTTTAACAATAGGATCTCAGTAAACAAGGCTCATGTTAAGTTTCATGGATTAGTCTCACCAATCTTCCGTTGAGACAATCCAATTTCTAATCGGGTTCGATGGTGTGTTACCCACCAAAAGCCCATGCAAAATAAGAAGTTATTTATGGGCCCAAAGATGGCCCATAATCGGTAACCGCCTCAGCCTTTCTCTGTACGCAAGATATTTCATGAGTCATGACTGTACTTTTCGTGTCGAGGAAGATCACAAGTCCGTAACAGTTCCGAGAATGAAGCTACGATTGAGACATCACGAGACGAGAGAAACCCTAAAACTTGAATTGGCCGATACAGACACTCTCCATGATCTCCGGCGACGGATCAATCCAACGGCGCCTTCCTCCGTTCATCTATCGCTTAATCGGAAAGACGAGCTCATCACGTCTTCTCCGGAGGATACGCTCCGATCTCTTGGTTTAATATCCGGTGACCTAATTTACTACTCTCTCGAGGCTGGCGAATCTTCGGGTTGGGAATTGAGAGATTATCAAACCCTAGCTCCTCAATCGGAGAGTAATCAGGCGATTGTTCATGAATCCATGGGTATTGGATTCGCAGAGGTTGATTCTAATCCGAATTCCGGCGTAGAAGATCCAGCGGAAGGATCCAAGGGGTCAAATTCGGGTATGGATGATCCAGAGCCGATGGATGTTGAGCAGCTTGACATGGAGCTCGCTGCCGCTGGAAGCAAACGGTTAAGTGAACCATTCTTCTTGAAAAATGTATTGCTTGAGAAATGTGGTGATACTAGTGAATTGACTACTTTGGCTTTGTCAGTACATGCCGTTATGTTAGAATCTGGATTTGTGCTATTCGATTCTGGCTCTGATAGGTTTAACTTTTCTAAGGAGTTACTTACTGTATCCTTAAGGTATACTCTACCTGAGCTAATTAAGTCTGAGGATACCAATACGATCGAGTCAGTTACTGTGAAGTTTCAGAACTTAGGCCCTGTGGTTGTAGTTTACGGAACTGTAGGTGGGTCGAGTGGGCGAGTGCATATGAATCTTGATAAGCGTAGGTTTGTGCCCGTTATCGATTTGGTTATGGATACTTCGAAATCTGACGAAGAAGGCTCTTCGAGCATCTATCGTGAAGTGTTCATGTTCTGGAGAATGGTAAAAGATTGTCTTGTTATCCCGTTGTTGATTGGTATTTGTGATAAGGCTGGCTTGGAATCTCCACCTTGTCTGATGCGCCTACCGTCAGAGCTAAAGCTGAAGATTCTAGAGTTGCTTCCTGGTGTGAGTATTGGAAATATGGCTTGTGTTTGTACAGAAATGAGGTATCTGGCATCAGACAATGACTTGTGGAAACAGAAATGCTTGGAAGAAGTTGATAATTTTGTTGGGACAGAAGCGGGTGATTCAGTTAATTGGAAGGCGAGATTTGCTACTTTTTGGAGGCAAAAACAGCTTGCTGCTGCTAGTGCTACTTTTTGGAGGCAAAACCAGCTTGGAAGACGGAACATTTCCATGGGAAGAAGCACCATACGATTCCCTCGAATCATTGGAGACCCCCCTTTCACATGGTTTAATGGGGATCGCATGCATGGATCCATTGGTATTCACCCGGGACAACCGGCACGTGGGCTTGGCGGACGAACATGGGGACAGCAGTTTACTCCCAGATGCAACCTTGGGGGACTCAACTAGCAAACAGACCGGGTGAGAAAATGGAACTTGTGAATCTTTTGAAGGTAGGAGAAGTAGGTGTATATGGCTTTTCCGATATCAGCAAATAAATTGGGAGGGTACTGATATGTTTGATATTTAAATGTTTCTTTGTTTTGAATGATTTTCTCTTCTTCTTGCCATGATTATGTTACATGGTTGCTCTCTTATGAGTTGTTGTGGCCACCTGATATATATAACATGGCTTCTTATATTTTGTGTTTATTGCTCTTAGGATTCATATTTTCAAGCCGATTGTGATGTTGCATATGGGACATGCTTACGAAAGTTTATGAAAAAGCAATTTTAGTTTATGTCAAAAGTTGAAGTGGTGGTTTCTAAAGAGATTGAAACGAATTTTCATACATTTTTTACAACATCCATTACTAAAAAAAAGTAACAATAAAGTGCTAACACATCTTACAAGTCAAATTGGTTTAGCAATACTCACAAGTCAAAGTAACAATAAAATGCTAACACATCTTACAAGACTACACAACTTTTTTTTTTTTTTATATCATGTAGACTGCATGATTATATATCTGATGATTGCTAAACCAACAATAACTTCATGAAACATAAAAAGACATGTGAATGTTGTCGGCTCATTGAACGTTCCAACAAATTCCAAATATGTGCATAGCAAAATATGTTGGGATGTCTTACATTCATTAAGTTTGAATAAGAGAGTTGCATTGTCTCTTTTGAATAAGAGAGTTGCATTGTCTCTTTTAAATAAGAGAGTTGCATTGTCCCTTTTAATTAAGAGAGTTGCATTGTCCCTTTTAATTAAGAGATCTGCATTGTCCCTTTTTAGACAGTGAATTTGTTCATGTTTCTTATATATTACTTTGAACTCCGAATTTCCTAGTATGTAGGATCCTAATACCCTCTCCAAGTGACTGTTTTTACTGGTCCTAAAATTTTCATAGTAGTTCTAACTCAAAACCAGTAATTAGCAGTAAACTGAATCACCCATATTTATCAAAGTCTCTTTTAACTTCCACTGTGTGATATTAACAATTATGGATTTCTTGCACCAATTAAAGATTTCCACATTTGTAGAATTTTTATGAAACAGAATGCATAAAGCCTTAAACATCAACACGCGAGATACCGAATTTTCTGACCTTGAAAGCGGAACACACCGTCGAAGAAAATCCGAACAACTTCTCTCATAATGGATGATTAGAATCGTAGAAACTCTTCTCGCACCGTATGCCAACCAATAACCATGTATGTTTCACACTCTCATCCCATCTAACCTTCCATTGAGAGAACATTTCAAACTTCTAATCGGGTCGGGTTGGATGGTAAGTACCCACCAAGGACCCATATAGTTTAAATTGTTAATAATGGGCCTAAAACTACCCGCCCAATATATATATGTACTCTACATTTTTGATGGTTTTTAAAAGATTTACATTTTGTGTCGACGAAAGAAGATCATAACAGAGTTCAGCGAAAATGAAGCTACGCTTGAGACTTCACGAGACGAGAGAAACCCTAAAACTTGAATTGGCTGATACAGACACTCTCCATGATCTCCGGCGACTGATCAATCCAACGGCGCCTTCCTCCGTTCATCTATCACTTAATCGTAAAGAAGAGCTCCTCGCGCCTTCGCCGGAGGCTACGCTCCAATCTCTTGGTGTAACATCCGGTGACCTAATTTACTACTCTCTCGATCAATCTGCTTTTGTTTCGAACTGGAAATTGGGAGATTATGAAACCCTAGGTTCACAATCTGAGAGGAACAAGGCGGTTGTTCACGATTCCATGGAGGGTCCAGTGCCAATGGATGTTGTGGAGCTCGCTGCCACTAAAAGCAAAAGGTTAAGCATACCATTCTTTTTGAAAAATGTATTGCTTGAGAAATGTGGTGATACCAGTGACTTAACTGCTTTGGCTTTGTCAGTACATGCCGTTATGTTAGAATCTGGATTCGTGCTGTTGAATCATGGCTCTGATAAGTTTAGCTTTTCAAAGGAGTTACTCTCAGTATCTCTAAGGTATACTCTGCCTGAGCTCATTATCCGTAAGGATACCAATACAATCGAGTCCGTTACTGTGAAGTTTCAGAACTTAGGCCCTAGGCTTGTAGTTTACGGAACTTTAGGTGGGTATGGTGGGCGAGTGCACATGACTTATCTTGATAAGCGTAGATTTTTGCCCGTTATTGATTCGGTTGTGGATACTTTAAAGTTTGAAAAACAAGGCTCTTCGAGCTACTACCGCGAAGTGTTCATGTTGTGGAGAATGGTAAAAGATGATCTTGTTATCCCGTTGTGGATTGGTCTTTGTGATAAGGCTGGCTTGGAATCTCCACCTTGTCTGATGCTCCTACCGACAGAGCTAAAGCTGAAGATACTAGAGTCGCTTCCTGGTGTGAGTATTGGAACTATGGCTTGTGTTTGTACAGAAATGAGGTATCTGGCATCAGACAATGATTTGTGGAAACAGAAATGCTTGGAAGAAGGTAAGGATTGTCTTTGGAAATTGTTAACAGGAAATGTTGATTGGAAGCGTAAATTTGCTTCTTTTTGGAGAGAAAAACGACTCAGTCTCCTAGCAAGACGAAACCCGAGCAACCCTCGATTTCCTCCGATAATTCGTGACCGTGGAGACCCTCGATACCCTTTTGACCGTCTCGTCCCAAGAGACCCTTTCGACCGTTTCAGCCCAAGAGACCCTTTCTACCATTTCGGTCCAAGAGACCCTAGAGACCTTGGCCCTTTCCGTATTCACCCGGATGGGCCTTGGCGGACGTGAGTATGGGGGCAGAGCTTTACTCCCAGATGCGATCTTGGAATTACGCGACTAGCAGACATGCGGAGTGATCAAATGGAACCGGTGACAGTAGGAGAAGTCAGTTATGTAACGATTCCTACAAATAAAATCACTTGGATACTAATATCTTTGAGTTTTTAATATTTCTTTGTTTTTGGATGGTGTTCTCTTGCTCTGGCAAGCAATGATTATGCTTTTATATTTGGGTTGCTCTTTTCTGAGGTTTGCAAAGACGATTTTGAGTGAAATTATGTTGCATATTATTATTGCAATCTGTTGGTTAAGTAATAGTTGTTGTGATGATCATGAAGTGGTGTTTTCTAACGAGATTGAGACGATTTATTTTTCACTCTAAATGTTCACCAGTTAAACCAGTAATCTACTGATGTCGAACAAAAAAAAGATCTATTTATAAGTTACTGCGACGCACATTCATATAGTTTTTAAAACCCCATCATCTTCTTATAGATGCAGTCGCATCCATTACTAAAAAAAAGTAACAAAAACAAAATGATGTAAATGACTACAAGTCAAATTGGAGGAGGACCTTGCTAGTCACTAAGCTACATGTCTTTATAGGCTGCATAACTTGTTGTTTGTCCCCAAAAAAAATCTCACTAAAGTTCAGTGAATCTTCATTAAATAAGCTTTTGCCTTCCCCATGTTCCATTGCATCACTTCTCCTTTACTTCATTGAGATATTCTCGTATCAATAACATTTCCCTGAATGTTGGAACTGTGTTTCAGTAAGGCCACTCTTACACTTCCAGACAAAGAAACTTGGTCACCGTAACTAGGATGATATGATCGGTTGGACCGGACTTAAGATATGGTATCGTTTAAACTCCCGCACCTTAAAATGCATAGTTAAATTCATTAATTTTTAGAAAATATACATTCCACCGCAATTTTTTTGACCTTCCTTGGCTTTCGAATGTTTACATATTTATTTAACTGGAATATAAAGATACAAACGATTAACATTCATTATTAATTTGCTACGACATGGTTAATCGGCGATGGCCCAATTCATATCATTCTCAAAGATCCAATGGCAAACCTCGATCTGACCCGGCCGGGACCCAAGCGACATGAAGGCTCCATGGTTCGCACCCCAAGCTGATGTGTCCATGTGACATATAGCAATACCATGGTTGATCTTGGCTTTACTCTTGGGATCCAAAAGATCTGACTCGTATATTCGAACTTTAGGCACAGAGTGACAGTAGTAGAGTAAGTAAGGGTACAAACTTTGGTGACATGACACTGATTTCGTCACTCTTCCACCGTTGATTCCTTTGACTTTTCCGATCATGACTTTTTGCTTTGATCCGGCTACACTCTCTGTAGTCCGGAGTACCACGTTTCGACCAAGCACAGATGTCGCGAAATCGATCATATCCTCCGCTGATCCGACACATCTTTTAGTCTCGCCAATTGTCGGCGATCTCTCACATTCTGTTACGGCATCAGTAATTATCCCTGCCATTGTCGAGTTATCCTTAGCGTGGAAGACACGCTTGATTTCCGCGATTTTTGATGTCGAAAACGGTAGTTTCGAGACAATGTTACGAGGCAGAAACGACCTTTTCGGCATTTTATCTTTAATGTCAGGCATCCAAATCAATGAACTTTCTTTAAGCAGCGATTCTCTAAAGAACTTGCCAGGCTCCACCCACTTATTCACAGTTTTGCCACCACCGAGTCTACTCTGATTATATTTCGCAAATTCGACTCCGGTTTTCGCGTAGTCCTTGAAGGTTGAGTTCTGAGTATACGTTTTGAAACCAATTTTGTTTCCCTCAGCTCCTTTACCATAACCGGTAAATGATTCCGAACCGGGATTAATAGATTTGCCGTAATTCACGAAGTCGACCTTCTCGAAGTTTGAGTTCTTGGCATACGACGCAAACGAATCGTCCCCAACGTTAGCCTTGTCTCTATAATTCAAGAATGTGTCAACGGCGGCATTCCCAGAGGCACCGTAGCTTTTGAAGTTATTCCGAGGAACATTACCGTCGCCACCGTAGCCTTTGAAAGTGTCGTTGGCTGCGTTACTGTTCTCGCCGTAGTTTGAGAAATCCGATCCGATAACGTTAGAGGAGACGCCGTAAGAAGAGAACTCGTTCGGAGCTCCGTTACCGTTTTTGCCATAACTGGTGAAAGATTGACCCGGTCCGGCGTTGGCTTCGTGAGTATAGGTCTTAAACGTCTGAGCCCGGCCGTTTCCGTCGTCGGAATAAGCCTTGAAACGACTAGTCGGATTGTTGACACCGGATTGATAGTTTTTAAAATCGCCGGAGCCACCGGTGGCTGACGTGCCGTAAGAATTAAAGTTTTCCTCAACGACGTTGCTGTTATCGGCGTAGCCTGTGAACTTATCTTCGTGACCGGCGGCGTCACGGCTGTATCGCCGGAAAGAGTCGGTTACTACGTTGCCGTTTTGTGAATATTTCTTGAACGAATCAGCACCGCCGGGGTGAATCGTGCCGCCGTAGTTGGTGAAGTTTCGTTGATCATAAACAGAGAATTTAACGTCGTTGCTGTGTTTCTCGAGGGTTGGACCTAAATCTGGAAAACAGAAGAGGTTTGCCGCGGAGCAAAAGTCCGGTAGGCGATCCGGAAGAGCGTTTTCAGAGGCGAGTTTTGCGAAAGTGGCGGAGGCGACAGCGGTAAGTGGTGAAGCCTTGGAGAGGAGAAAGGCTGAGCCTGGTGATTGGTGTTGGATCTGTTTGTTCCAGTAACGTACTAAAGATGCTTTGGGTGTGAACGGATTCATCTCCGGCGAAAAACCGCCGTTAGTTAACCGTTCTCCTCCGGCCATAACTACCTACATTGTGGAAGTTTCAAATTTTTTGAAATGATCAAAGAATAAACGGAAACAAATCCAATAAAATCTGAAACAAATCAATTCTTGCGAAATCAGATAATGGATTCAAAATGATTTAAGTTTGACTTACATGGAAGAGACGCGACAAGAAGGGTAGGAGAAAGACAAAATTTTTGAGCATTTTTGTTGAGGGACAGAGAGAGTGTTGGTGGGTTATCGATGCGAATGTGTGTGTGTATATAAATATTTCCAAGTTCGAACCAAGGCTTATATAGAGGTTTAATAGTGTGTTGATTTTAGAATGTAAATAATTAATTAAAGGCATTGATTAGTTAGTTGCATGACAAATTCCGCAGAGAAAATCACATATTGTTTTTGACTTTTATTACAGATTTGTCAACAACATGTATTCTACCGATGGTGACAAAGTATAAGAAACATATTAAGCTAATTACTCTTGTCTGATTTTTTTTTGTTTTCTAACCAAATTGAAAAAGCTAATTACCTTTCTTACTCCGTGTACTTCAACAAGTTTTTACTCTGTCTTTTTAAAATGTATTTTTGTTCTTGACGAAATATTGTCATCTATTTATTGAGAAAGAAAACACCACACCAATGCTTTGAGGCTACGATTTTTCCTTTTACTACTATTCTAGAAAATTTACTCTCCAATAGAACCAAAATCGAAATCTTCTTTCTTGCAACACAATTCATATAATAATATTAATAATGTACACTTTATCACAATTATCACAATTCATATAAGAGAGCATTCAGTGTCTAATTTTCCAAAAGTAAAACACTTAAGTGATCGCATGACTCATAATATAATAGAACAAATTTTAGTCTAATACTAGAAATAAAGAAAAACGATGCGTCATATATTCGCCAACTTATTCTTTTTGGTCAATAATGTGTTTTGCTGATTTGAATTTAGATAGTAACAAATTTACATCGCTAGTACAAACTCCTAAACTATACCGGTCTATTCACTAGTTTCATTTTTCAAAAAAAAAAAGTCACATTAATGTCTCTCAATAAATCATATTAAACCCAAAATCTCTCCTACCAAATTTTGATTAGGAGAAGGATAAGGAAACACAGTTCTAAAAGGATTAAACGCACTATACATTGTCCACTTAACACATGAAAAGATACATTACTCTTTGTTGGCAGAAACTTTTTCTTTACTAACTATAAGTACTAAAGAAATGTGACAAGATTAAAGACAATAAACAAATTAGAAGACAAAGGAAACCAAGAAGCCATCAGTCATGACGCAATGATGACGCTCCAGGCTCACATTAGAAGTCCCATCACTTTACACGACAACATTTCTTCTCCACAAATCATTAACGAAGTGATTCAAGCCCATCTCGAGTTGCATTTTGGTTTAACTTCTATTTTTATATATAACCCCAAAATAGAAAGATATATAATCATTATGGTCGTTGATCAATAGATGCTTGCAGTTTCTGTTTTCTTCAATAGGAATATGCATTTTTGAAACGAGGCAAAGATAAAGAGAGTAACAATGTAGCACAAAAGCCTTAACATGTATGATGACATTACAAAACAAAAGGTACCATGAAGTTATACACTAAGGCAAAAGCTCTGCATTCAACTTTTAGAGCCATCACTCTTACATAGCTTAGTGCAAGATATCAGCTGATCAGGGTTTTAACTCTTTTCTTGATGCCAACATAAAAGGTTACGATTTGACTTGTTTATTATTGAGGGCGTTTCTCCTAGCGGTATTTGGAGGATTGTGTGACTCATTCAACGACATTTACGAGCTCATACTCGATAAGGGACATGTTGGTGTCTTCTTTCACTTTGAAGCTCGCAGGCTCTGTGACTTCAACACGACCCCACTTGTCTACAGCTAGCCTCATTGATCCTTTATACATGTCGATTTTCGCATTACGTAGAGTTACAGTTGATCCTTCTTTCATTAGGTCCACTACACAAAACCAAAACAAAGAAAACATGTCAAAACGCAATTATTCACTAGCCTAAGGATCACAAACATAACTAGAATTCATAACACAGACTATACTTTTTTCATTGATTGATTGAAATACGCAGATACCTTGGTCATTTCTTGCGGTAAAGACGATAACTCCTGTCTCGTCTCCAACAATACATTCAGAAATCCGCAACTGGCGAGCCTGAGGACCATCAGCACGACCTTTCTGTAACACCATCTTCGTGCTAACGATTTTCACATTCACATTGTGTCCACTAGTCCCAGGACGCAGCTGATCGACCTTAGTGAAAGCTGGCTTCTTCAACCCGGCTTTGGCGGTATCTGCCATTTTCAATAACAAGAGCCTGCATTGGAAAAAATATATCATATGACTTCTTTACCAATTAAAATTGATCAAATCTGCAAATGTTGGATTAATAGATTTAGATAATAAATTGAACAACAAAATACAAGAATTAGAAAGCAGATCAATGAAAAGACATTCCCAGGACAAGATACAAAAAGTATCTAAATCCAATTAGCCTTTTGAAATTTCTGGTAAAGGAGATAACTTTCGACAGATTATAACAATGAAGGCACATTCCCAGAAGAAAAGAGAGCAGAAACACGAAAAAAACAAAGAGAAATCGAATTCAAACATTAAACATTAGTGCATGCATAATTACAAGATTTGAAGCTGGGGCAGTTTTTGAAATCAAGACAACACAGGAACCGCAATGTATGAATAGAATCGATTCAAACCCAAATTCAAATTCTCAGAAATTAGGGTTTTTATTACAAAGAGCTTACCTTTGGATAATCGAAGGCGGAGGATACGAACGAAAGATCTGATTGAGGTTTTCCAAAAACAGTCGAGCTCGGAGAAAGTTTTCACCCTTTTTTTTTTTCTAGTTCTGGAGAAAATGGACGGTAGATCTATAAGCTGGACCAATAACCCAATCAAAATTCGCCACGTGTATACATCGTGCATTGTTGTGCGCGGTTTCTATGGTCATTGGTCAATCTCATCGTGCCTAGATGATAAATCATATTGATCGGCTTTAGGACTGCTCTCTCTACTATTTGGGCCTATTATTAAAACCCAATTAAATTGTAGCCCATTTCATATCTCTCTACATTCAATTTTTGTTGATTTCTTTGATCCCACAATCAAAAAGTGTTTGTGATTGTTCCAGAAGAAATGAAACAAAAGATGAATCACAAAATCAGCTCCAGAACAAAAACAATTATGGGCCACAATTTTGTGATATAAACATTAAAATGACAACCACAAGAAAATAGCGACCAATCAAAGAAAGCCACGAAACAGAGTATTTTAAAAACAGAGGAAAGCGAAAGAGATAAGCCGTTTGGACACTAGATCAGGTGCAAACTGAAAATGAACACAGCGCTTGCAACGACCACCGCCACAACTCCTATACTCCGCCGTGATACGCCTCTTCTTCATCATTGTTCTCTCACAGCAAAATCGCCGGTTTTCCGATTAAACGGAGTTAGATTCGGATCTTGCGTGCAAACAGTCAGCAAGAAGTTCTTGAGAATCTCTGCGAGCTCTCAGAGTACTTCAGCGGCGGTCAATGTCACGGCGGATGCGTCGATTCCGAAAGAGATGAAGGCGTGGGTGTATAGTGAGTACGGCGGAGTTGATGTTTTGAAGCTGGAGAGTGACATCGCTGTGCCGGAGGTTAAAGAAGATCAGGTTTTGATTAAAGTTGTTGCGGCGGCTCTTAATCCCGTTGACGCTAAGAGACGGCAAGGGAAATTTAAAGCCACCGATTCGCCTCTACCGGTAAATTCAAATTTCCCTCTCTATTTGAAAGATTCCTAATAAGAAAAGATTTGTGATTCTTTAACATTTTGAATCTTTCGTCGGAATAGACTGTTCCGGGATACGACGTTGCCGGAGTAGTGGTGAAAGTTGGTGCTGCGGTGAAGGATTTCAAAGAAGGAGATGAAGTTTACGCTAACGTGAGCGAGAAAGCATTGGAAGGTCCGAAGCAATTCGGTTCTTTAGGGGAGTACACGGCCGTGGAAGAGAAGTTATTAGCTTTAAAACCTAAAAACATCGATTTCGCGCAAGCTGCAGGGCTTCCGTTGGCAATAGAAACCGCTGATGAAGGTCTAGTTAGGACTGAATTCTCAGCCGGAAAGTCAATTCTTGTTCTTAATGGTGCTGGAGGAGTAGGGAGCCTTGTGATCCAGGTAAACATTTTTGGTTCCTTGTAATCTAAAAATCAGAGAATAATGGTTGTTGATTGATTCCTCATATTCGTGTTCGATACAGTTGGCGAAGCACGTGTATGGAGCTTCAAAAGTGGCTGCAACAGCGAGTACAGGGAAGCTAGAGCTGGTGAGAAGCTTAGGTGCTGATTTAGCTATTGATTACACAAAGGAGAACATAGAAGACTTGCCTGACAAGTACGACGTTGTCTTTGACGCCATTGGTAAGCAAACAAAACAGAACACCATCAACACATATTTGATTTCTTGGAACAAAAAGTTTTGATTAAATCATCTTTTGTGTTGTCTAAAGGGATGTGTGATAAGGCAGTGAAGGTGATTAAGGAAGGAGGGAAAGTTGTGGCCTTGACCGGAGCTGTCACGCCTCCCGGTTTCAGATTTGTTGTGACATCTAACGGCGATGTTTTGAAGAAACTTAACCCATACATTGAGAGTGGGGAGGTGAAGCCTGTGGTCGATCCCAAAGGACCATTCCCATTCTCACGTGTCGCTGATGCTTTCTCATACTTAGAAACAAACCATGCCACAGGGAAGGTCGTTGTTTATCCCATCCCTTGAGGGACTGGCTTGAGTGTAGTAGCCTTATCTATGTGTATAAGCTAAGCAAGTGTCAAAAGTGTTATAATCTCTTTGTAAACTCAATGAGGGTGGAAATAAAAATAAATGCTTTTTAAAGCTTTATTCATTTCTTTTGAAACAGAAGTAGCAAAGATGACATTACAGAAGCAACAGAAGAAGATTATAAGAACACACTTAGACGAAACATAGAGAAAAGGTTTGAGTTTAAAACTTTTAAGACAAGGCAAAGGCAGGGGTGGTCTTGAAGTCTAGTTCCCAAAGATCAAAAGTTCCTTTGACGAAATCGTAGTGAGCTCCTCTTATGGAAAGCTTGTTCTTCACCACTCTTTCTCTCACGAATGGATAAGACAAAAGATTCCCCAAGGACACGTTCACAGCTTCCTGCTCACAGAGGATAGTCAATCTTAG